AAGGTTAGGTGGTCTGGGGATAGAAAAACAGGTATAGTGTTATCATATCAGAAATCAAGGCTAGGTGGTCTGGGGGTACACTAAATTATGGTTAGACCTATGTGATAGCCGCTGTCCCAGAACCCCCAAGTTTGCCCTACTTCCTTGAAGCTTTATTTGACGAATATTATTTCAATCTTTAAACTTTTGAAGCCAGCCAGAAGAAAACTGTAATATTCCTTCAGGAACATTTAATTCATCGGTCAATTGTTTTGCCTTTTCAACTAGTAAAACATCACTTAAAATTGTTCTATGCTAATAAGTTAATACAAATTCCTTGAGGGCAAGCTCAAGTTCTGAAACAACAGCTTTATGATGTTTTGTTTCTGGATTAATAACTTCTACAGCAAGTCATTTATTTTTACTTTGCAAAATTCTTGTAATTGTAGATTTGTCAACTCTAACTTTCCATTTTTCTTCAATCTAGTTTACATATTAAGACCAAGTTTTTTTGTTATTATGAGCATAAAGACAAAACTCGTATTTTTGAATATTCATTAAGGAAACTCTTTTTTTGGCATATTATTGCTAAAAATAGCTAGTAGTTGATCAAATTACATGTATTACGCATATTGTGCATTATTATATAGTTTTAATTTGATCAATGGTACATGTTCATTTAACTTAAGTTTAGCAATTTTTATCATTACAAATGAATAAATAAAGGCTTTTCAGTTATACAAAATCACGTAAGTGCATTTGTAGAAAATTTATTATATGACCGGGATCAAAAAAATTATTGCACATGTAGAATATGGAGGGTATACATTTAGCATTAAGTTCCTAGCTTGGAACCAAACAAAAGGATGCCTTATAGAGAGTGTGTATTTATGGAGAGTGCATTTATGGAAAGTTGACTGTACTCCTAAAGGAAAAGGAAACAAGTGAGTTTCTTATGCAGAAGTAGTTAAACAGGATTCGAATAGTAACTCTAGCAGACTGAACTCACCTTCTCCTAATATGGACAAAAAGAAAAAAAAGGCTGCGTCCATTCAAAGATTAGCTTATCTAGTATTAGCCATAAGGCTCTCAAGAAACAATTAGTTACACCAGCACCCAAAACAATTAGTACTGTAATGACTTGCTATAATCCAGAAGTTAAGGACAATATCTGTGAAATTACAGTTTATGATATCCCTTCCAGATGGACCTATCTTAATGTTCTTAGTCACTTAAAGACCTGGGTCAAGTTTAAGGTTGCTTGCCGAAACCTAGGGGTTTAGGCAAAATGGCATTTCGCCGAAAAGCGAAATTCTGCCGAAACTTATTATAAATGCTAAAACTGCCGAAACTCTGCTGAAACTATAATAAATCTATAGTAAAATTTTGATGAAACTAATCGTAGGATTTTGAAGAGGTTTAGACAAGCAACCTTAGTCAAGTTATTGCGATTAAATTAAATCATGACAGAAATACACTACCATTACCATGTCAGTAAACCTCAACAAGGTGGCAATGAATCTATGGAATAGTGGAGCTTAGAACACTCTACTTAGAGGTTTACCTGTACAATAGTTTCAGCCAACTGGGATCTCAAACAAAGAAAAGAACGGGAGCGATTTCAGGCAGTATTAATAGAAATTCCTATTTCTACCACTACTGCAATTTTATATCCAAATAACCCTGCTCAATCTATTCTTACACTCACGGGGTGTAAAGCATTTAAACTAATTTAAGATAGGGTAATCATAAGCTGATAACTTACTATAAATCACGAACTGACTTGGATAAAGTCGTTAGTAAGACTTTCAGTTTAAACAGATTTATAGGTAATTGGAAAAGATATTATACCTCTAACTTGAAGCAAAAAAGGAACTGATATCAGAAGATAAAGCAAGATGATGATTCTGAGGTATTTCAAAAGAATATTAACACAATTAAGTCAGACAAGAAACATAAGGAGACTAAACGAGTGACAAGAGCTTAGACAACATTGACAAACTAACTGTTTTAGCTGATATTAGATCAATGCTAAGAAAATTAGGAGTATCTTAAGAAATTCTGTACAGAATGATTAGTGGCGCCTAGTTTTAGGAGTGTAGTAGTTGTAGGGTGGTTTTGTTGTCAATTTTAACAGGACCCTGCCTACTATTAAGATATATTACCAGTAGAAATTTCACTTTCATATGAAACCTTATCTTAGGATTTGCTTAAATTCTATTGGTTAATTGACTAAAAAGGAAAAAAAATCATAACAATGTAACATAAAATTTCCTTTTATAGTAGGATCTTTAAAGAGTTTTATATGTAAACTTTATCTTAGGCCACAAGGTGACCTATCTTAATAGTAGGTGAGATCCTACTTTAACCCTTATATTTTCATTATTTTTATTTTCTTTTTATTTCTTTTTGGTACGAAGCATCATTTGATACAAGTGTACCTGGACATTTTCATTGCACAGTGGGAATGGAGAACTTTCTTTATTTGTAGCTTGTACCTAAGGTTGCTTGCCGAAACTAGGAGGTTTCGGCAAGATGGTGTATGTGAAACTGCCGAAACTAGTTTCGCAAAATTGCCTCAAAATGCCAAAATGCTAAAACTGCTGAAATATGCGAAACTGTTTTGACGTTTTGGCATAGTATATCATATGATATACATATAGTTTCGGCATACACTATAATCTGTGATTTGCAGATTTTATTCTGATCAGTTTCGGTATATCATATGACTTACCGATCATACTAATTTACTGATCTGATAATCTTTTTTTATTAAAAAAAGGTTAAAAAAAAATGTTTTTATTGTTTATAGTTGGAAAAAATAAACCCGTTCTAAACATAAAAGGTTGGGTTTTTAATTAATTTATTTTTTTTGTAGGAATGTCACTAACATTCCTTTTCTCTTTTTTTCTTTAAGAACACCTTCTGGACCTGAAATTCGGCGAAGTGGTAGGTTGGAAAAGAAGGTGTGGTTTTATTTTAATTATAAGAACGTACCTAACATTTCTTTTCTCTTTTTTTCTTTAGGAATACCTTCCGGACTTGAAATTCGGCGTAATGGTGGGTTGGAAAGGGGAAGTGTTGTTTTATTTTAATTTAGGAATGTACCTAATGTTCCTTTTCTTTTTTTTACTTTAGAGCACCTTCTGGACCTGAAATTCGGTGAAACGGTAGGTTGAAAAGGAGGAAGTATTGTTTAACTTGTTTAATTTTAATTGTAAGAACGTATCTAACGTTCCTTTTCTCTTTTTTTACTTTAGGGTGCCTTTCAGATCTGGAATTTGGTGAAACAGTAGGTTAAAAAGGGAAATGTTAGTTTTTTTCATTGTAGGAACGTACCTAATGGTCCTTTTTCTTTACTTTAGGGTCATTCTTTTGGGACATGAATTCTGTTGAAATGAAATAAAAACAGCCTCCTGGATGAACCTGGACTTAAAATGTAAGGAATGGGAGAAGGGAAGTTTTTTTAAATATTAAAGAAACGTACTGACGTTTCTTTATTTTTATTAGGTTGCCAGACTTCTTAGACGAATCCAGACTTTGGAATGTTAGTTGGAAAAGAGAGAGGTGATTTTTTTTTAATATTAAAAAACGTTACTAACATTTCTTTCTCTATTTTTTTTAGATTATCGGACATTTGGGTGAACAAAACTTAAATGGGAACTGGGAGTTTACTTCAAAGAAATGTAATTAATCTCTTTATTATTGTAATAATTGTAATAAAATAAAAAAATATTAAGTAAAACAATAAAAATTACAATAATTTTTTTTAAATTTATTAGACAATTTGAAATTAAAAAAAAAATGCTAAAAAATATTAGAATAGCGAAACTATGGTGAAATTCATATAAAATATTAATGCTTATTATACCAAAACTATGGATAAACTTAATTATAGAGGTTTCACAAATTTTGGCAGTTTCACACATTTTGGCAGTTTCGCAAGTTTTGGCAATTTTGCAGTTTTACCACTATGTAAGGGTTTCACTTTTCAGCATTAGGCCAAATAGGTTTTGGCAGGTAACCTTACTTGTACTATTACAATGTTTTCACAAGTTTTAACTAGATATACTATAAATAAAATATACTAAAATGGGCAAAATTTAAGTATAAATTAAATATATTTTAAGTATATATTAAATACAATTTAATTTTTTTTTTTTTAATGATTTATATATGCTTTATTGATATGTAGTTTATATACCATACAAATAAATTATCATAAGCTATATCCATCCAATAAGATGCAATTATCAAAATAATATAATTTAAATTTTGTGAAAATTCAATTTTAAATATAAAATAAGAAAATTAAGTATATTTTAAAGAAAATTAAATATATTTTAAATATATTTTAAGTAAAATTTTTTTTTATAAGGCATAATAAAAATTCAATATCTGTAATCCATATAAAAATCAAGTCTGGATACAGATAATTTTAAAAAAATTGAATGGATAATCCATATATCCATGTTATTTATGTTATTCATGTAATTGAATAAAAGGTATTTATTATATTATTGAGATTGAATCAAATAAAGTATATTTAAAAAAAGAAAATATTTATTAAAATTATAAATATTGCAATTACAATTTTTTTATTAACCATAACCAGACCATTCTAAACAAAAATAAATAGCTTTATCTTCTTGTTGATTCCAAGAACATAACATATATGATTTTTTAACAGTAGTTCCTAAACGTCCAAATGTAATAATATCCATAGGAGATATTATTTTATTTATATCAAAAACAGTGGCTATAAAATGACTATGATATTTCAGTGGATCTCCTATCAAATAAATTAATTTAGTAAAATTATCAAATATAAAAATTAATAAATTTATTAAACTTACCAGGATATAAAAGATAATCTCCACCAAATTTAATACCACTAGTAATATAATATCCTTTATTCCATAAATCACTATATATTTTATATTTTTGTATATCCTTTAAAGTACTTGGCCAAATCCATAAATTATTTTGTTTAGCTGTATTGATAGAATCAAACCAATTTTCATTATTATTATACCAAGTAAATGATGTTGATGATGTTTTAATATTAATTATTGGTGCAAAACCATTTACTTTTGATGTTTTATTTTCAGAGTTTGGAGTACTTTCCAGATTCCGAGATTCTTTTTTTTGCTGTAACAATGTATTCTCTTCTTTTAAATCATTTAAATTTGTTTTCTTAGCTTTATTGATTTTTTCTTTAATATCATGATTTAAAGTATTATTCTTTTTTAAATTTTTAATCTTTAATTTTTTTTCCTCAATAAAATTTATATATTCTTGTAACTGTTTATTTTCCTCTTGAAAACTTTTCTGCTCAAATTCTTTAATTTGTGCATTTGTAGGTGATTGATGACTTTTTTTATCATCAACTAAAATAATTAATCCTGTGATTTAAAGAAGTATTATAATAAATAATATTAGTCTTGCTAATATAATGCAATTTTTTTTTGAAAATTTTATTTATAACCTTTAGAAAGAAGCAGTGTAACTTCTTCATTCAACAAAGTCATTGGCAAACCAAATAATTGATTTTGCAATGGATATCTTGGAAGACATCCAATAAAAGATCCTACAATTCGGTAATTTTCACGTAGAAATCGAATTTCTATGATTTATTTGTTATTTGAGCTATTACCATTTGATAAATAATAATTACAATAATCGAAAAAGTTAAAAAAAACCTTCAATATTCCATAATAATGCTTTATTGTTACTAATATGAACCTTGAATGGTGGTTTAAGTTCAAGAGATGTGTTTGTATTTTTGATTTCTTTAAATTATAAAATAATTTGTTAGAAAACGGAATATAGTATAATAAGGAATAAATAACTTTTTTAAAAATACCCATTTGGATATAAAAATACGATTGAGGAATTAGGTTATAATATTTATTGTAAATATGATGATAATTCTTTTTTAAATCACATGATATTTTATAATCCGCAGTTTTCGTGACAAAAAAAATAAAAATGACCAATTATTAATTAATCCAGTCTCATAATTTCATTATTTAAACCTTAAAGAAAGAATAGAGAAAATGGAATTATGAAATTTATAGATGAGATTGTACGATATTTGTGGGTTTATTTAAGGAGTCTTATTCCTTCGTAGTCGTTTACGTTTTGCCTAAATCAAAATATTTTAAAACGGGCCAAACTTTAAAAAGTTATTATTTGATATTAAAGTACCTTTAAGAAACCATCATATCTAGCTGTTTTATCGCGAGGTTTTGGAGGTGGATAATGCGTTTTTCTTGGTCTATAAAATTTGTCTAACGAACTATCATGACGAACTTGTAAAAACAAATTTGGTTTAAATGATGACAATTTTAAAAAAGATGAAAATCGGCCAGAGAGAGAAAACATTTTTTTTTTGGGTCTACCGCACCTGATCTTCAAATTTATTTATATATACGGAACAGTTATTGGGCTCTTTCATTAAAAAAAGATGTTTTATGTTTTAATATATAAATATTCTACAAATAATAATATGTTTCAATACAAATTTTCTTGTTTCTATAGTTGTTACGAAACTGGGGAAAAATAAGATAATTAAAATTTCTAAATATATTATAATAAAAAATTTATCTTATATCCCATTTAAATAAAAAATTATCCAACTTTACATTTCATTATTAAAAATTTTTGAGTAATCGTCCAAGCGCACTATTAAGAAAGTTAGTTTTAGACGATTCAAAAGAACTATTCAATTATAAGTATCTAATTTCTAATTCATTTGACAATTTGGCATTTATTATTTGTCCTTATCACATACTTAAGTTTGTCTCAATGCGCCTATTATTATGAAATAGAATAAAAAAATAAGAAACTGTTTATAATTGCGCTCAAATATAAACTATTAGATAAACAAAATTTCTTACGTAAACGTTCTGTCAATTCTTCGTCTTCTTTATTATTTTTATCTGGCACACCAAGAACATCGCTCGGGGCAGCTTCTCCTAGCTCGTGATTCAACTCCAATCCATGCTCATCTGCTACTTGTTGCATTAATAAATCAACTTCTTCTTGTGGAGTGCTCAATGACGTAGTATTACCCATTGCACCTTCCATATATTGCGTTTGAACATCTATGTCTTCAAATTGAGCTTCAAACTTGTCCATTACAGCAGAAATCTATTGTTAAGATTCATTTAATAAGATTAATGGTTTTTTCAATTAATTTATAAGCAATCCTTATATACCTGTTCCAAGTTCATATTCGACATAGCTTTATCCATGCCTTTTACAACATTTGCCATTGATCCGGTCACCTACATGAATTTTTACGTTACCACTTGTATTATCAATATCAGAAGATCGAAAAAAAAATACTCTTACCTTTTGCATCGTAACAGCAGTCTGTATTCGACTGGCAACTGCATCTATTCTTGATGATAATTTCAATAGATTTAACGCCTCATTCTTTTTGCGAATAGCATTTGAGGCATATATTCGTGCTCCTTCTGTATTCTGTTGTTGTATCGCCTGAAAATGGAAGATAAATTAGTCAAGACAGCACTCCCAAAAATTAATGATCCTGAGAATTCTAAATATCACACTTTTTTAAGTTTTGCCTTTTCTGTATTTTCATCCTTGTTAGCTTTTTTTGCTTGCCGACTTAATTGTTTTGCTGTCAACTTTTAAAACGGAATTCATTAAAGCAATTTGCAAAATATAATCATGTATGTTATATCCTTACTTTTAGTTGGAACAGGTGTGCTTCCAATTTACTACCCATCTTGAAAACTTGAAATTGAAATTCTTAAAAATAAAGTTGAGAGTATAGTTCGGAAATATAAAAGAGGAAAAATAAAATAAGATAATTCTTGGCGGTCTTATTCTCCGTTTATTGTAACTATTTATTATACCATCAAAATTTGTTGAAACAATAGTGATACTGCTAAAAATAAGTCCTTTTAAAATGTCCAAAGATGCACTTGCACGTGAACATACGGGCCACAATACCCCCATGTATAATACCCTGCAAAAAACAACTCATTATTATATAAATAATATAATAAACATCCAATTGTTATACTATACAAGTTTTAAACATCTTCCATTAATAATAAAAATTCGCGCAATAGAAGGGAGGGTACTATGGTCCGCAAACTTACACACGGAGGCGAACTTGTAAATTATTTATTTATAATTAATAATGATTTATTTTATTTAAATGTATTCTATATGCTATGGATCATGGATGTCAATTTTGAATATTCTAAATAAAATAAATACTAAACGAAGTTAAATACAAAAATGAAATGATTTTTTTTTTTTCGCTATAAATTACAAAATTATTTAAATAAACACTAAGCATTTCCAACTAATTATGTAAATCAAGAAAATGAAATCTCCAATTAAAAAAAAATTAAATGCAATATGTAATAAAAATTAAATAATAACTGCTACACCACGTTGAGCAACTTTGTTTTTGTCTTCTTTCTCAGCACTTGAATTAATTATGAAAAGTAATTCACTTCGATCCTCATTAAGGTAAACTGGGAGTTGAACTGTTTGCTCAGTGATTTCGACTTCCTTAGACTTTAATACCCATCGGATTTGTGATTTATCTAATTTAGTGAATGGGGATGGGACCAATCTTATTTGATCATTTTTCCATTCGGCACCTGAATTAATTAAAATGATTATTAGTTGAATCTTACAATTTATGAAAGGACTATATATTCTTTACATACCTGCAAGTTTAAGTCCTGATATCGTAAATGAATCCTCATCTCCACTCCTGTCAAGGTCAATTTCCAATCTCAATTCTTCTAATGACCATTTGTGTGATTGCGCTACTGCTTGACGTGTAGCTGTAACATATGCTTCAGGCATGAAAAGACCTCCTAACCATACATTTAATCCTGAATATTCAGTTTCATTGGTAATTGCTTCTAGTTGTTGTAAACGACTCTTAAAATCTGCTATCCAATGATTGAGTGAAACAGTTTTTGAAACTTTATATTTTCTCCAGTGGTCGGGTATAATACCTTTAAATATTAAATCCGAATAACGAATTAATAAATACTCTTTGAATAAAGTTGAGACTATATTAAAAAGAATTACCTTTTGTTAAACAACTCAACAACATGCGTAAATGATTGGTTTGTTTAAGTTCGCCATCGCAAACCTTCTTTATATCTTCTAAATCATGACGTATCTTTTTGAGAAGAGAACGACCTATTTGATTTTCACGATCGAAAAACCTGAATAATGGATTTTTGATACTTTCGGCGGTACGATTCATGGAAGTTAGTTTCTACAATAAGTAAATAAGAAAAAAAAAAACGTGTATGTCGATTAGTATTAATATTTAAATTTTGTTGATATTTAAATTAATAACACAAACTTACTTGTGGTAATATATTTAACCAAGTATCGACATTATTATAAAGAGCACGCATCCAAGCAGGTTGAGCAGACGCTCCAGTTGATTCAGAACCTGATTCTTGTGTGTATGCAACTTCATCGTCGTCAGCTAAACTCCTCATCTTAATGATTTTAACAAGCATTGCATTACCTAAAAGTAGAATTATAATATAACTTAAATAATCTTCATAAATGATAGATAATAAAACGAGAAAAAAATAAAAATTAAATAGTATACCTTTGCTTATGGATAATACTTTTTCAGCATTACTTGGCAATCCTAACCAAATTGGTGGTTGCCTTTCAGGGAGTTTATTAACCCAGTTCATGAATTGGTCTATCTTACTGCCTTCAGGTGTAGCCAAGTCGTCAACGCCTTCAACAAGTTTAAAATCAAGATCATATGCAGCTGGTGTGAACAAACTATTAACGAAACATTCCAATAGACGTTTATCAAATTCGTTATCAATACGACCACCATAACCAGAAATAGTAATCAATGAACGCATAGCTTCCCAAGGAATCTTATCAGGGGAAACATTAGCTCTGCCTTGAGCAACAGAGTCTAACCAAGTGTCAATTGTGTTGATAGCAAAATCTTGATCAGATTCATTAAATTCATAAATCTTGGTCCAACCAAGAGGACAGTAACGAAGACGTTCTTGTACAATAGCATGTAACCATGCGAGCATAAAGTATAATCTGACACGTTCCGTAGGTCCTTTTTGAAGTCTACTTGGAGCAATAGCTTTGAGAGAATCTGTAAGGTTAGCCTTAATACCTGGTGGAGGTTCGAACATAAGTATACGTGATAGACGTAATAAGTTTACTGGCACTTTTGGATTCGTTTCCATGGTAAGGAATAATCTGAAGTTTTTATGTGCTTTCATGCTATGTAATTTCTTTTCTAATTGACCTAACCAGGAAGGTGCAAGATGTACATTCTTCAATAACACCCAGTTACCATTCTTGATGGAACTAGCAATAGCGTTGTCGGCAAGAGTAAAACCCTCTTGTGATCCCATAGCAACAGATGTGCAACGAACATTAAGTTCTGCAACAAGGTTATCAACACGGAAACTTGCATCATAACCAGGAACCGAACATAAGGAAATTGGTGTAGTTGGCTGAATTTCATCCAAAACTAAAGCTTTAAAGTCCAAATCTGTTTGATTAATGAAAGCTGGGTCAAATGCAACACCAACTAATTGGGTCACAGCAGGAATCAATCTATCTGGTCGGAAACATTTAACAATCAATATCTTTCGTAATTGTTTGACGGTAGCTATAGTATTAACAGTAATGAAAATTAGAAAAATTGGAAATTCAAAGAATTCATTACACCATTATAATAATCTTATGTTTCTTACCAGGTAATCCACTATCCAAGAATTCGGGAATACAGTTTTCAGCAGATTCAGCTTCCAAGAATTCTTTCCAATCTGATAAATTACTTGTGATATGTTTAGTAAGATTGGAGAAACACGGGAGGGTAGTAAATTCTTTGATTTTACATAATTGATCAGAATCGAAAAGATCAGCTGGTAATCCTAATTCTTTGGCAGTAGCATGAGAACCGGGAACTACATCACCGCCGCTTAATAAGAAATCGTATTCTGTTTCGTCAATTGCTGAAGGTGAGCTACGCATCTTAATTTGAGATAATAAAATTGCATATGTAACATAATCTTCGTGCAATAATGAACGTGATACACGTTTGAAAGAAACGTTAAAAAGGTCGCGTTTAAGAATGTCTAATCTAGAGTTAGCTTCCGTAATATCTTTAAGATTGGGATTGTCATGGAGAATAAATTGGAAGATTTCATAAAAATATTCAAGTGAAAATTGATAGAAATGATGTAATAAGTTCATTTGTTCCATTACGAAGAAGACTGAACTACAAGCCTGAGCAAGGGGAGTATATTGCTTTGTAACTTCCTCAACTTCTTGCATAATACTTTCTGTTTCTTGAACCTTCTGAGTAATTTCAGCAGCTTCCTTTTTCAATGTTTCTAGAGTATTCAAAACTACAGCATCATCCAAAATATTACCCTTCGACTCATTCAAAGCTTGTAAAAGAGATTTTTCAAGATGTCTTAATTTTAATTTGAATTCACCCTGAAGTTTAATTAAGTCTGTTCTCTTCTTGTCAGTATCTGGTCTTTCAACCTTAAGTACTTGATTAAGACATTGGCTTTGTAAACTACCACGAGTTACAGTGAAATTGACAAATGTCACACGACTGCATACGTCTGGAGGGAAATTGACAGATGGGTCACGAGTTGAAAGGAATAGAGTAAATGATGGAGAGAAATCAATATCTTGTCCTCCTAAACGGATCAAGACACGACCTCCAGTACGACGCAATTCTTTGTTTAGTACAGCATTTAAAATAGGGTCAAGATGTTCAACATCTTGAATAAGTAATGGATTACCAAAACGAAGAGCACTTTCCAAGTTTTTAATGAATGAATCATCCAAGAAACTAGTAATTCCAATTTTTCTATCCTTATATTCATTCATCAAAAAGGCTGAAGCTTGACCAGATGGATCAATAATTAATGGATATCTATTGAAGCGTTTGAGCATGATAGCATTTTCTGTACAAAGATCGTCCGCGGGAAGAGAATTTGCTTGCCATGACAGACGATCATCGGCGGTTGAAAGATATTCTGTTAATGAAAGTTCTTGTTTGAATTGAATGTTTGCGTTGACAAGATGACCTGTCCATTTGTTCACTAATATTTCACGATATTGTTGATCAAAATAACCACCATAAGCGAGGAAAGCGGCTGAAAGTAAGACGTCTCCCACAATAGTACCCATTTGTGTTTCAAATGCCTGGCTACCGCTTTCCCATCTTTCTTTTTCGGATGACAAACTCTCAAGAAGCGTCATACTACGGTCAACTTTTGTTTTGACACTTTCCATACCATCTTTAATAGCTTTTTTCTGACTAATTAAGGATTCATATTCTACTTTATATATTCCAATTTTTTCTTCTAAATCATTAATCATACTTTGAATACTAACAGCCTTCAATTTAGTAGACTCCTGTTCCTTTTCTAAATTATCTACTTCTTGACGTAAAGGTCCTACTCTATCCAAAATTTCAGAATAACTCACTTGAGCAATTACCCATTTAACTAAGGGTCCACAAGCTTTACTAGCTTTGTTTACAAGCTCGTAATTGAAATTCGGTTTGCTTAAATATTCTTTCTTCATTTTTTCTCTCAAATTTTTTGTCATGTTCTTGTCCGTATCATAATTAACAATACTTGTAATAAAATCGTCACGACGAATGATACCTTGCACAGCTTTCCAATTGTCTATAGTAAATCCAAGCAAGGTACAAACGGAAGTCATAGCGAGTTTTACAGCTTCAGGAGGATTACCCATAGAACGTACTTCGGTAAGTTGTTGTTTCTTAATACCTTGTACACTTCTCCTCGCTTCTTCAACAGCTGGTTCTGCATTCTCTAAATCTCTTAATACAACACTACGACGTTCTTCAATGTTTTTTGTTTGAATTTCAAGCTGAGCTCCAATTTTTTCGGATTCATCTTTTTGTGCTTTAGCAAGTGTTTCATCTTCTACCATCTTCTTTAATTTTTCAGTGGCTTCAGCTTCTTTTGCTTTAAGATCTTTCTCCTTGATAGCTAAGCTCTTACGAAGTTCTTCTACAGTTTCCACAGTTTCTTTTAATTTGTCTAAACCAACGTTCAAATGACGCTGTTGTTCTTCTAAGTCTTCACGTTTCTCATTAAATAAACGTACATAATGATTGATAAAGTCCAAATAATGACGGGGGGTAACATAATTATAACGTCCTTGTCGTTTGCTTAACTTTGCGTTAATATCATAAAGTGATTGATGAACGTATACAAAAGCATTTACAATAGCATTTCGATGTGTAGGTGGAAGAGATAAACCACGATACGCAGTTGGGAAGTTTACCGGTGGAGAATAATTCTGGATATCCAAATCTAAGTTATGCGTGAATTCCATACCAACTCGGAAGAAAGCTTGGTCTGGCCAATCACCGAACCAATCTAATACACAACGATTAAATAAGGCAGGAGAAGTTGCTGCACGGGAAGCAAGACCACCTTCAGGAGGATTCATTGTGAACACAACGTGCAAATTCTTCATTACTTGTTGTGTGAACCATTTATATAATTCTTCTTGAGAATCTAACATTAACCCTTCTCTTTGAGCACCTTCTTTACAAGCTGTCATTAAAGTATTATATTCATCACCCTCAAACAATCCAGGAACCTCAGCATTAGCGAGCAATGTATTCATGCGTTCTAAGAAACCTGAATCTAATACATTGGATTCGTCCATAATGAAGCATATTTTTTCACCTTTACAACCTGCACGTCTTAAAACAACGCGAAGATCTTCATCAAAGTCATCACCGGTGTATTTGTTATGAGCCTTGATTTGGAAGACACTTAAACCGTTCATCCAAGCAACAAATCTGGATAATGTAGTTTTACCGGAACCACTTACACCAATTAAAAGTAAATGTCCTTGCATTTGTCTAAATACACGATCAATACGGAGTACGTGATCCAATACATCATTAAATAGTACTAATGGAACATCCAATTCTTCTTCATAAAAGACTTTGAGGCGAGCTTTGACATAATCACGTAAATCCTCACGTTCAACGGGAATATAATATTTGGATAACCAATTGGAGAATAATATTGGACGTCCTAAAGCTTCTTGTTGATTTAAATTAGGGAAGTGTTTCATAGCAATTGCATCAATAGTATCATCTGTCCATTTCTTTTCTTCTTCAGTGACAAGACGATCTTGGAACAATCGAAGAGCTTCATGTGCCCAGATACGAACAAGTCCTTCTAGAGACAATGTTTCCATTGGTTTTATGGCTTCAAAAATACCTCTCATCCATCGGGTCAATTCACGAGGAGAATAAATATAATGAGCTTGAATATCTGGTGTGAAATGTTTTTGTGATGCAAGATAGAAATCTACCATTGCAGCTGTAAGAGGTTCGGCGTAAGCTCGAAGTGTAGGGACAACTTTTAACATGGCACGTGAGAAAGTACCATAAATTTGGTTAAGAGAAATTTCGCCAGGATAGTCAACCATCACTAAAGGTGAATGACGAAGGAATCTGTGAGTTAGTGGTACACGACCAGGATCTGTTGGTGGATTACAGGCACCGACAAATTGTATACGTTCAAGTTTAACCCATGCTTTATCAGTAGTTCTCCAGTAACCTCCATATTCAATTAACTGTCTTAAAAATGAAATAACACGTTGAGTTCCATATTTATCAGTAGCAGGTAAATTGATTTCATCGCAGAATACTACAATCCAACGGCCAATAAGGATAGGTGACAAAACTATACCATTAGGTGTCTTTCTATATTCACAATATTGTTCAAAAGTTTTCAAAATAAGTTCAGGAGTTGTAGCACTAGAAAAGTTGAGACCAACGACTTCCATGTCAGGTAATTTTCTAAGAGCACTGAAAAGTGTCATTGTTTTACCGGAGCCTGGAGGACCACAAAGCATAAGTGGCTTGTGTTCTGATAACCAGGAATACAAAACTTCTTCATGACGAACAGTATCAACAGTGGGAATAACTACATCAGCTTCAGCAACAGTATGAGTTTCAATTTCAATAGTAGGTACTTTAGTTGTCCAAGCAACCCATTCACCATTACTTATTTGAACATCGTAGTCAATAACAGATGATCCGGGAGATGCAGGCGGTAAATCGACAATTGTAATTCCACGTACGAAATCTCCAAGTTTAGCACGTAAATCAAGTTTCGCGTCTCCAGAGAAACTCCAAATAACACCAATAACTAGACGTTTAGTGACATAACTTTCTAAATGATCGGCTGGCATTGGAAAATCGGGATGTTGTACGTTATATTCAATGACATTATGTACTGTCTTATTCATCAACGAGAATAAGGTATTTAAAACACGCATCTTTGTGAAATCCATAATGTGTTCCAATTTTTCAGCATGTTCGAGGGCTTTGGTTACGAAACCATCGTCAGTCATGTGTTTAGCAAGAATTTGTGCAACAGCACGTTGTGTACTTAAATGAGGTGAAACAGATTCTTCTTCGCCAGATTCAGCTCTGCGTGCAGTTGAGGAATTTTCCTCTTCATTGTCATCCAATGGTACAGATTTAAGAGTCTCCAAGTAATTGGTGTAAATCATTTTTAGGGTACAAACTTCTTCACTGAACCAAACCATACCGCAACGACTGACAGTAGCCAAAGTAGCGTATTTCAAATTTTCTACTTCAAACATAATACGAACATTTGGTGGAAGACTCAGACGTTCACCGTTAGGTAAAGTAAGTAACTTATTATCATCAAGTACACTATTCAAGTTTTCGACCCATTCGGGATCTACGTCACCATCAAAAATAATCCAATGTCTTTTTCCACTTTCACCACGAACATTGTCCACAATTTTACGCAAGATATGTGTAAATAAACCATCTACCCATTCACGAGTAGTAGGATCAAGAGTACCATAAAGAGCATCCTTTGAGATAGCTTTTGGATCAATTACATATGAGACACCTTCTACACCCTGTACACGTTCTAGAGCTTCCAAAAGAACCTTCCAAGCTACAGTTTTTCCAGAACCTGATGGTCCTACCATCATAAGACCGTGATGTAAGTTTTGAATTTGATAAAGTTGTAATACTTTCTCCATCCACATTTCTCCATCGAGAAGACGTTTTTCTTGACAGACCAGTTTGATTTCGTTTGTAAGTCTATCAAGATCTACAGGTCTATATTCAACACCAGGGAATACATCAGCTAATAAACTGGACAACAATGGAATATCGTCAGCGACCAATTTTGGAACAATAGTTTCACGGATACTTTGAATAACAATTTCTTGTTCTGGAATAGGTTCTGAAATATTTGCATATTCTGATTCATCACTATTTTTATCTCTAAGAGATTGAAGACGTTCACGTTTTAAATTACCAGCACTAACAAGTACACATTTCAAAGCACGTAGACCGAAATCATAATGTGCTTGTGGCGATAATTGTTCAGTACATAGGTTAAAAAGCGGTACTACTTTAGAAGCAAGAGTTTCGGCTGTACGGAAACCTTGCGAGTAAAGCATAACTTGTGAAATTAGTTCACGATCTGGTTTTGTCATAGCCATACTTCTAAATAGTTTTTTCAAATTATCTGGTAAGTTAGAACGTCCAGCATAACCAGGATTCATAGTAATAAAAATGCCAGTATTTGCATTAACTGTAAGACTTTTGCCAACAATTTCTACTTCAGCGTTTGGATTATCTACAATTGACTTTAACCCAAGTTGAATGGTTTGTACTTGTTGCGAAACAGCAGATAAAATTCTTTCTTCAAGACGATTAAATTCATCAAAACATCCCCAAGCACCAACTTGACAGAGACCAACAAAAATACGTCCCATAGCTTGGAAATCGAAATTTTCATCACAGCAGAATACAAGCACAAATCTTCCAAGCTGTACACCAAGAGCTTTAACCGACTCCGTTTTACCAGTACCTACATATAAAGAGAATTGTTATTAATGTAATAACGGAAGTATTTGAAAAAATATGTAAAATTACTTACCAGCTAATAAACAAGAAATAAAATGTTCACCATTTAATTGGCGGAAAGGAAAAAAATTATTTTTTTTTGTTAGGACGAATAGAATAAAATCGAAATAATTAATTCTGACGAGAAGAGAATAAACTTTCGTAGACTTACCCGGCCCGAAAGGTGAGCCTCCGAGTTGAAGAGAAAGAGCTTGAGTGAGAGTTAAATAACATCTGTCGGTAAGAGGGGTTTGTACTAGACGGTCAGGAACACCAAGATATTCATATCCGTATAAGAATTGAGCATTTGCCATATGAATTGTGAGTCTAGCAAGTGGATCATCAATAGATGCGTTAAAATAAAATCTCATTTGGTATAACCATTCAAAGTCCTTTGGTGAAGATATTTTGTTCTTAGTAAGTTGACGGATAAGATCTCGTTGATGTACAAGTTCAGTAATTAAATGTTCACATTTTTTGCGTTGAGTTGAAGGTAAATCTGTGAGTACAGTGTCAGCTAAGACGTCTAATGCGCGAGTTACGAACTGAAGGGATTTGTTTAATGGAGTTTGATCGTTACGATCACCCTGTTCTATTGTAGAGAGAGCTTTGTCTACAGATGTTGTCCAAACAATTTGAACCGCAACTACTACTAATTGTGATGCATATTTTTCAATCCATTCTAATAAGGTACTGGTAACTAATTCATCATTAAGGTAAAATGAACTAAGTTCAGCAACAGCTTCTGTTAACCATTCAGCGAGAGAGACTTTCATTTCTTTTTCGATCATAGTAAGCCAGTCATTAATTTTTGGATTTTCTTTAATTGATATCGGATGTTTGAATGGAATTTCTTCACCCTCACGGGATGCCATTCCTTGGATGATTGTCAAATCTTCGCTCAATAAGATATTAGAAATACCAGCAAACATCTTTTTGAAATGTTTCTGGATTCTAACAACATCTTTACTATTACCAATAATTTCGAGTAAATCTTCGTCACCAACAAAGTAGAAACGAGGGAATGATGAACGTTCTCTTTCGAGGTATTCACCAAGAGCTTTTTGAATCTTACTTAAGAGATCAGACAATCTTTCTAATGATTTTTGAACATCTCTTATACCCAAAACATCCATTACGAAAGGAGATTTATAAACTTTTTTCATGACACCCATGAATTCAGAGTTGATATTTGTGAAGCGTTGAGTTTCTACAGGAAGCAAATGTTTAATGTCTGCACTACCACTAAAAATACCTTCCAAATATACCCATTGACGTTGAACATCAATCCAAACGTCAAACAAGAGGTTAACGCGATTTAATTTATCTTCCCATGAAGAAGCATCTTCTTCAAAGGTTTTATAATATGGTGACATTTTCATGGCTGTTAATGAATTAAGATTTTCGCTGCATTTTGTAAAAAGATCATCCCAACCTTTGATAAGACGACACTTATTTTGATAATTTACAAGTTCAAGAGCATAAGTTGTCCACGTTTCTTTAACTTGTTTTAAAAATTCTTCGAGAGCCATTTCACCAGCTGCTTGAGCTACAACTTCTCTAATAACTGTTTCATTTTTCTTTAGGTCCATGTCCCAAATTTGACCAACAGTCATATCAGATGAACTTACACGACCTTCAAAACGTAATACTTTAAATAATTGTTTCCAATGACGATCTTTCAAAGCATCGGATTTAAGTTCGGAGAGAATAGGATTAACTTTGATGTATTGTTTCATTGTTTCTTGAACATATTCAAAAGCTGCATATGTACGCATACGACTGGGCATTTCTTTTGTAGAATTGATAAGATTATCCAATTGTTGTCTGATTTTACGAGGTACAACGGAAGCCCATGGTTGATCCTTTAGTTCATTAATAGAACTCCAAACTTTACCAAGAGAACTCCATACAGACTTAAGATCTTTAAGTTCTTCATAAACAGGCTCTAATCGATCCTCAGAAGACGACTCCATATTAAGAGCTTCTTTAGCATGACAAACACTTTCATAATTTTCTTTGATACGAGAGACGCGACTCTCAAATTGATTAAGTGTATTTATTGCAACATCGGGTTTAATATCTCCCTGAATTGGTTTTTTCTCAAACCATTCAGTAACTATTTCTTTAACTTTACCTTCAATGACTTTATCTTCAGTAATGATCTTCATTTTTAAGCTATCAACTTGTTCCATAATTGCATTGTCCTTTCTTTTCAATATTTGATTAAAAGCACTCCATTCATTTTCAATTTGATCAATATATATCCAATCACTTGGGAATTGGTATCGTTGCCTCTCCAAAGTTTTCTGTCCATTTTTGAAAATTTCAACATCTTGTTCCCACTTAGCAACTTTACGATTAAGATCTTGAACAAAGATAAACAGTTCAAGAGCTTCACTAGTATTATCACTTTCCATGGATTTATTTTCAAGATCATTACGAGCATGAGAAACGTTCGTGTTAAATTCTCTCATAGAATCTGCAATCTTAGCACCGAACTTATTGAGAACCTCTCGTTGCCACGAATCATATTTAGCATTAACCTTACTTTGTGCATGTTGATAATCAATTACTATGGGACCAAAGGTTCGTGATGTATCAGAGTTATCAAAAGTATTTCTAGCTTTTTTAATTTCAGTAAGAATTTGTTGCCATTTTAAAAGATTATCACCAAGTTCAGCGAATACATTATTTGCTTCAAGATCCCATAACGATTGAAATTGAAACCAAACGTTTATATATTCGAATACTTCTTTCAATTTGGCTTCGATTACTTCATAAGCCTTCTCAAGTGAATTACTCGGAATCTGTGTCAATAAATTAGAATAAGTTGTCTCACGAGAAAAAGTTCCTCTGACTTGTAAATCAATATCGTAACTGGAACTTTGGAGTCTTGGAAGACTGCACACAATAGCAAGCCATTCATGGAATTGATTATACCATTTTGCTCTAGCATCTTCAATAGGAGGGTCTAGATAAATTACTTGATTACGAATCTTAATTTCATGAGTTAAAACAGCAAGTGTAGGTTTCTCGGCTTTTGATATAGTTGGTCTTTCGCCATCAATTGAATCATTTCTTGTGGTTCTACGTTTATTTTTTCCTACAGCTTTACCACTTATTGAAACTGCTTCACTATATATGGATTCCGCAAAATTAGCAGATTCGTCGCCTGATTCCATAAATTCTATTGTCCACGCATCAACTGCATCTTCTAACCGGTTAACAAGAACATTTTCAACACGTTTATCAAGTTGAGCAACCCATGGGTTGAGATTTGAGTATGACTCAAGAATAAGCCTATTAATTATATCTTGAATTTTCTTTAAGTTTGCCTGGAATTTTCGACCCTTAAAAGCGCAAGTTTTCAAATCATCAATATGTCGAGAGATACTGTCATAACTATCTATCAATGCATCAACTTTATCTTGGAAGATTGATACTTGGTTTGCAAACTCTCTTACAAAAGTGACATGTTGATTTTCATCTAAGGCTCCTCCATTAAGTAAATTTGTTCTGTAATGGCGATCATATGTTTCGACAAAATATTTCCATTCATAATTTATACCTTTTGTGATCATGACCTGTACTTCATGTCGATAACTAGCTACTAACATGATAATTTCAGGATGTTTTTGAACTTTTTGTAGAGTTTGTGCGTATGTTCGTACTGTTTCCATAAGACTGACAGCAAAGGGATAAACACGTTTTGCAGTCTTTGCAAGACTGCTAATATTATGTGGTACTTGATGATTTAACCACAGTAAATTTCTCACTTCTTTGAATAAAGTAATAATTTGTGGGTCAAAATTAACACCCAATTGCAGTACATTCCCTTGTGCACGGTTCTTAGTAATTTCAAAGAGTCGACCGCTAACATTTAAATCGCGTCTATTCTGAATATCCTTTTGCCAGGTTTCAAAAATCTATAATTTAAAAAAAAAAGATGATGATTAGCATTTCAACGCCTATTTTTAAATAACTTATTATCTCAAAATTACCGGTCGGGTATCTAATTTCTTCTTAAAGTTATTGCTATCAGTTTGCAATTTTTGGCCTTCCGCATACATTTCCCAACCTTTTCCGAGTACATCTTCAACACGCTTCATGTATGCTTGTAATTGACGTTCTATTTGTCGAGCCCAAATCATAGCGCCGGAAATAGCTGGTAAGTCACGAAGTTGTGCCATGTGATATGCTTCAGATTTACGATATTGTTGTGTGAATTTGTCTTGAAGTTTCTTAATATCTTCTTTGACGGAGTCAATAAGTTGAGTTTGATATTCTTGAATGGCACCACGAATCTATATAAATAAATTTGAATATAAAATAAAAAATTTATTATTTAAAGTAATGATGATTTGATCAAAGAGAAAAAAAAAATATACGATACCTTAGGTCTAACAAACAAAGCATTAAATTTAGAGAATACGCGAAACATTTCATTGGCGTTCTTGCAAGTACCAAGACGATCACGTAAACTCGAAATGATCTGATTTTCGACACGTGAAACGCGTTCGTTATAAGCATTCTCCGCTTGCATCCAAATTTCGGTACCTTCAATTGATACATCCAATACATCAATATCCTTCACGCTCTCGTAAGCCAATTTAACTTCTTCCATTGAATTAATATCATTCGTATTTGCGGATTCTTCTTCTTGTCGTACCACTTTGTCTTCTCCTTCAACCACTATCTTCGTGGTAGTTTTAGGTTGTGACATAACTTTAACAATTGTTTGATGAAGTTGTTCATGTTGTTTTCTGAAATTCCTTACAAAAGCAACACGTTCTTGTAATTTGTCATGTGCAGGGCTAATTTTAATTGGGATAAACTTGTCTGAACGTTTACGTGTAACATCACGCGCTATATTTGTAAATTCTTTAATGTTTTCGTCCCAAGTCTTAAACACATCTTCAGCACCAGACATAATTTTTTCGAAATCTTCATATTCCATATACATTAATCCNACAACGCTGATTTTCGACACGTGAAACGCATTCGTTATAAGCATTCTCCGCTTGCATCCAAATTTCGGTACCTTCAATTGATACATCCAATACATCAATATCCTTCACGCTTTCGTAAGCCAATTTAACTTCTTCCATTGAATTAATAACTTTAACAATTGTTGGATGAAGTTGTTCATGTTGTTTTCTGAAATTCCTTACAAAAGCAACACGTTCTTGTAATTTGTCATGTGCAGGGCTAATTTTAATTGGGATAAACTTGTCTGAACGTTTACGTGTAACATCACGCGCTATATATATAAATTCTTTAATGTTTTCGTCCCAAGTCTTAAACACATCTTCAGCACCAGACATAATTTTTTCGAAATCTTCATATTCCATATACATTAATCTTCGGTTACCCAAAACTCTGAGTAGCTGATCATTTAAATCACGTGATATAGCTTCAACAAGTGCGAGAGCTTTTTTGATTGGATATGTGCTAAAAATTATGAAATTATAAGTAAAAGATGAAAAATTTTTACAATTATTAAATAAATATATATAAAACTTACGATAATCTTAATTTCTTCAAATGAGTAAAAATAATGTCTAATGATTCTTTTATCTTATTCACATCAGGTGCAGAAAGAAGTTCATTAAGAGGAAAATCCTTCATAAGTTGGTTGTATTTATTAACTAATATAATTGAAGAACGTGATTTGTAAGTATAACACTCTAATGAGAGACTGGTGTGATTAAATAAATCAATGTACCTTTTTCTTTTGATTCCTTCAAACCAGTATCGGCGATAAATGATACCGTTGTGTGATAACGTTTAGCATGTCGCAAAATGCTTAATGTTAATTCTAAAAATAATAATGATGATAAATATTTAATATCACAAATAAAGAAGTTGTCTCTTTTTTTTTAAAAAAAAAATATATATATTCAAACCGATGTGGTCTCCTTTTAACTGTTCGTCAATACCTTCCAAAGCTTTTTCCATGCTTAGCCAGAAATTAATTTCTTGAATGGCCGTGCCACTTGCCGGATCACGTGACAACTTGGTAACCTTTTTAATTTCTTTAATCCAACCGTTTACATCTACTTGGAGTTTATTCAAAAATGTTGAATCTGTGAGAAGTGCTTGATTTTCAATCATGTCAACGGTTACACGCTTTCCTTTTTACCTACACTATTTAATATGTTGAAGAAAAAATGATTAGAAAAAAAATTCAAAACACGATTCAGAAAAAAAAATACGGGATTATTCAAAATTACGGAAAAGATTACTTACCTCTTCCACAGTTTTTTGAACTACAGGATGTATATTAAGTGATATCTCGGGTATTTCAACATTTTGTTGTAAATGAAGAAGTGATAATTCTAATTCGGTAATTTTCTTTTTGGCCATCGGAATACCTTTTTAAAAAAAATAGTAAAAATATTAATAAATACGATAATATATATTAATAAATTTACAATGATTTCCATTAAAAAATGATTAATTAATATTAGCTTATACATACCAATTTTAGAGTCATCGTGTTTTTTACCTCCAATGCTGACAAGACCTTCGTTGGCACCTTTTTCTCTAGCATATGCATCGAAATAAGGAGCAACAGCAAGGTGAATGTAAGAATGTAACGCTTCATATGGGCTTATACCAGTCGAACCGGAATCGCTTGATGCAGGACCAGGTAAATTTATAAGTTGAATCTGTGTTTGTATTGCGCGAGAACCATCCAACGTAGGTACGTATTTTATGAAAGCGACGGAAGCAACGTTATTTGAATTGTAAGTGATTTCTTGTGTACATATGTATGAATATGTGAAAGTTGCTTGTTCATCTGTGTTAATGAAATGAATTTAAAGCGTAAAATTTTCATTGATGTGAGTTGTGATGGCATATATTCAAATCTATCAACCAATAATTTGATTCATTTCAAGTTGGATCGATTCGATAAAATGAAATATTCTCTATATAAAGGTTCACGATAAATCTTTCCTGCGCACAAATTGTGCAACTTTCAATGTATATCCTTTGTCGCATTGCATAGCGCATGTAATACAAGTATACTGCGGAGTGAATATGTAAACTTACCTTCTTCTTTCTTGTCGTCTCTTCTCTTTGTGAAAAATATAACGTTAACCTGAGGGTCATTTATAAAACGCTTTAATTTATCTGTGGTATCACTCACAGACCACAGTGAATTTGCTAAATCAGAAGATTCAGCCCCCAGGACCAAAGGTAATAATTTATCAAAATAATCTTGTAATTGATTTGGTTCGCAAGGTGGAACAAGCGAAGTAGTAGTTGGACCACCTGCTATAGTTTCGCCTTGAGATGTTTCTGTGTCGACATCCATGATTTTATTATATAATTGTAATTAAAAACACAGCAACACCTAAGGACGCGGTTAATATTACAAAAAAAAAAATTCCCCTGAGCTTTTTATACCAGAATTTTCTGAATAATATTAACCATTTAATATTATCAAAAATGTTTGTATGACCTGTATGTATGTATAACTTTACTTTTGAGTTAAAGCACGATTATAGATAGTTAATCTTATAAATACTTACCTTAATTAAGTTTTTTAGTAAAACAAATCATGTATTGTAACCTAAAATTTAGTGACCCCCGCTATGAAAAAAAAGTGGGTCGACGAAAATGCTCTAGATTAATTTTTGATTTTGGCGGTTTTCATGCAGATCCAGATGATTTGATTACTACCATAAAAAAAAAATTGAATGCAAGTCTGCGGTTGGTGGCTTTTAGGGTGATTAAGTTTCAAAATTACGGATAGGGATAAAATAAAGTATATTTACCAATCAACAAAACTTTGAACTACTTGCACATGAAAAAAAGTTATAATAGCATGAAAATGACACCACATATAATAAAGAAGACAAAGAATTTATTAACAATGAAATTAATGAAACTACTTTCTAGATTTCACAATTCAAAGCTTTCAGCATTAACTTGATTCGAAAAAGTTCTTCCGAAGAAAGTTGTAAATAGCTGCAACAAAAAAAAATGCTTGTTTTAAAACTTAACTTTCGATTGGAGGATCTTTATCCTAGATCTCCCAAATCTCAATGATATGTGGCACAATTGATCATTTTTGTCGTTTTCCCTTACGAAGCTGTGGGTATTTTCATATAAATACATATAAATGTATAAATATGTACATATTACACACTTTGAATTAGAAATAATTAGAAATCGTATATCAAAACTGGCAAATCAGTTTAATTTAAAAATATTCACATTGTGAAATATAAATTTTAATAATATAGTATTAAATCTTAATACTTTGTTATAATCTACTTTACTATAATCGTGAAAAATGTATTTGATAAAATTGCAATTCTTACTGTTCCTATTTCCAAGCCTCATCTTTGAAATAATATGTCCATTGAGAAAAAAATTGCCGATCAAGATGTGATAATCATGTTCTCTTCGTCAAGTTGCTAAAGGGATAATTTAAAATTTTTTTTTTATTTTGTGATCAAGAGGCAGGTATTGTAGATCCAAAGAAGAATCTTGCTGTAATATTGTCTGCAAATTTTGATATCTTAACTCATCGAGCAAATTTTAAAAGTTCAATTGATTCATTTTTCTTAAAATGGTGCCCTGATACGTTAATCTTACCTCCTCTTACCTTTCCTGTAATTCTTCTATTATTCTAAATAGTAAAGTTTTAATAAAGACTAATTAATAACAAAGAACTCCAAATTTTGATGCTGTCCTACAAATAAGTGATGGACTAAACGATGAAAAGAATTCTGATCACAATTTTATTGAACAAAGAAAAAATTATAATTTCTCGTGAAATTTATCACTGGCACGTCGACAATTGTATAGAACTAACCTAATTTAGAGAGAAATTACTTTAAATATCACAAAAAGATTCTGTTGATCTCAATTAAGAGTGATGATGCTCTTAGACGTGCATCGAAAATTATATCATGTGATCAGAATGTTGGTTTTTTTATTTATTATATTTATTCTAATACTAAAATGAAAATTAAATAAATTAAATAAAAACAATGTACAATGCGAACAAATCATTAAAATACCAAATTACCGACCAGGATTATTATTTCTAATGCCAAAACCAATAAATTAAATATGATTTATAAGTTATCTTCGGCTGCTAATCTACTATATCTACTATTACCAATATAATTACTACTATTAGGACCATGTTTTAATAAAGTTATTAAATAATTGATTATACCATCATTATCTACAATTCTTTCTACACCACCTTTACCATTATCAACCCAAGTAGGTTTATTCCACCATCTTAATAATAAACTAGAACAAACAACGCTCACGCTCGAAAAAGCCATTGCAAATCCAGCCATCATTGGATGTAAATGAAATCCCCACGGGATAAATAACCCCATAGCTAGAGGAATGCCCAATACATTATATAAACTTGCCCATACAAAATTTAACCTAATACGTTTAAATATTGTTTTTGATAAGTCAATAGCCGCTACAACATCTGTTATATCCCCTCTCATTAATACAATATCTGCTGCTTCCATTGCAATATCTGTACCCGAACAAAGCGCAATACCTAAATCTGCTGCTGCTAATGCTGGTGAATCATTTATACCATCCCCAACCATTGCCACTACATTTCCTTTACCTTCATACTGAAGCGTTTGAACAATTTGTGTTTTACCTTTTGGTGATACACCAGCATGAATTTCAGTAATATCACATTGCGCTGCAATTGCTTCGGCAGTAAGCAATTGATCACCTGTAACCATTGCAACTGAAATTCCCATACAACGTAAAGCCCCAACTGCTATTTTAGCTTCAGGTTTAACCATGTCAGATAAAAATATACAACCAGCAAATGAATTGTTAATGGCTACTAAAACTGCAGTCCTTCCAAGACGTTCTTGTGATTCTTTGATATTCATTGCTTCGCTTGGAATAAATATTTGATTTCGAAGTGAGAGAAATTTCTCATTACCGATCAAGACATTATATAATTTTGATGTTGTATTTGTTGTTGCCGATAGAGGTGTAACAGCAGAATATGATGTATTTAAAATCACTTTACATTTTATACCTAATCCAGCAACAGCTTCAAAATCTGAAACATCAGCATCATATGTTTCAATATCTAACAATTTCTTTCCATAATTTACGATAGATCTTCCAAGAGGATGTTCGCTAGAAGATTCAGCTGCTCCAACAATTGCAAAAAATGTTTCCTTTGTCAATTCTAAATTGTTCGTTATAATCTCATAATGAGCAACGTCTAATTGACCCTTTGTAAGTGTACCAGTCTTATCAAAAACGATTTTTGTAATTTTATGTCCTGTTTCAAGCGGACCACCACCTTTGATTAATATTCCATTTTGTGCTCCAACTCCAGTTCCGACCATAACAGCCGTAGGAGTACTAAGACCTAATGCACAAGGACATGCAACCACAATAACAGAAATACATAATTTAAGACAAACCATGAAATAACTTCCATTATGTTCAAAAATTTCCGGAGGAGGATTTAAAATTTGTGCAAGAATCATCCACCCTACGAATGTAAGTAGGCCTAACCCAATGACCACGGGTACAAAATAACCGGCAACGGTATCAGCAAATTCTTGAATCGGAGCTTTGGAAATTTGAGCTTCTTCAACAAGTTTGACAATTTGAGATAAAGCTGTATCGCTTCCAGCACGTGTGACCTCCATATCAAAAGTTCCCAATCCATTAACAGTGCCACCAATTACCGAATCACTTTGTCGTTTGTTTACAGGATTGACTTCTCCAGTTACCATTGATTCATCTACAGCTGATTGACCTGATATAACAATTCCATCTGCCGGAATTTTATCCCCAGGAAAAATTTTTACTACATCGCCAACTTGTACTAATTCTGTAGGAATTTTTTTCTCTCCAATTATTTCACCTGTTTTGGAATCTTTAATTAATATGGTAGTAGAAGCAGGCGTGAGTGACATGAGTTTCGATAATGCAACTGAGGTTTTTCCTTTTGCTAAATTCTCAAGATATCTTCCAAACGTAACAAAAGTAATTAACATGGTCGATGTATCGAAAAATACCGATGGTTCATTTCCATCTACAATTAATGCAAAGATCATGGAAAAGCATGAAAAAGTAAACGCGGACGTAGTTCCAATAACTATTAAAACGTCCATAGTAGCAGTTTTGTGTTTGAGAGCTTTGTATGATGAAACATAAAATCGTTTTCCAACACCAAATTGAACAGGAATTGTTAATAAAAGAGCGACTAAATCACCACTAAATATCCCACGAAGTAATTCAATATGAACTAATTTCCTTCCCCATTCAAATCCTGGGAAGACCATAGAAATAAAGAAAACAGGAATAGCGAAAATAAGCGATCGATAGAATGCTGAACGCCATTCTGTAATTTCTCTTGTACGAGCTAAAGATTCTAACTGAGCTTTTTGACTATTATCATGGATAAGAGCATTAAAATCAAGTTTTTCAATTTGGTCTACGATATCCCGAACTCCTAAGGATTCCTTATCGAATTGAACCGTTGCTATTGCCGTGGAAAAATTAACTGAAACGTTTATTATTCCAGAAATTTTAAGTAATTCTCGTTCAATTAATTGGGCATGATCGGAGGTTCGCATTCCAAAAATTTGAAGATCGACTGAACCTTCACGCTTTGGCTTAATTGGAGTAGCTTTAAATCCTAAGCTATCAATCAATTCAGCTACAGAACTCTCATCTAAAATATCAGGATCATATTCCACTATTGCTCTTTCAGCAAGTAAAGACACTTTAATTGAAATTATTCCTGCAGCTTCACAACAATTTTTTTCTATGCTATTCACGCAAGACGCACAAGTCATCCCAAGAACTTGTATATGACAAACTTGAATATTATCTTGATCAAAACTATGTGTCTTAATAACTTTAAGAGGATATGATTCTTCTTCCTGTGATTGTTTCAAAGTAATATTTGTGAATGAAGCAAATTCTGTTGAATTAATATTTGCTATATCTGATGCTAAAGGAACATCAAATCCACAATTTTCAATTGTTTCAATAATTGTTGATAATGTTATTTTATTTGGATCAAAAGAAACTGATGCTTCATTATTTTCTAAACTCACAGTAATATTTACAATTCCAGGTAATAGAGAAACAGCGTTAGTTATCGACCTTACGCAAGACTGGCATGTCATACCATTAATTGGAATTACTTTATCTACCATTGATATATCTGATGTTAAAGGAACATCAAATCCACAATCTTCAATTGTTTCAATAATTGTTGATAATGTTATTTTATTTGAATCAAAAGATACTGATGCTTCATTATTTTCTAAACTCACAGTAATATTCAAAATTCCAGATAATGAAGAAACAGCATTAGTTATCGACCTAACACAAGACTGACATGTCATACCATTAATTGGAATTACTTTATCTACCATTGATATATCTGATGTTAAAGGAACATCAAATCCACAATTTTCAATTGTTTCAATGATTGTTGATTTTGATACTTTATTTGAATCAAAAGAAATTGATGCTTCTTTATTTTCTAAACTCACAGTAATATTCAAAATTCCAGATAATGAAGAAACTGCATTAGTTATCGACTTTACACAAGACTGACATGTCATACCATTAATTGGAATCACTTCAGCTTGAGCTGTTGAATCCTTGCTATCAGTAATAGCATTATCACCAAGATCTTCTATTATGTCAACTGCTCGAGAATGAACGTCAGTTTTATCCATTTTACGTGAGTTTTCTTAAATTTGGTCAATCTGTATATTCACAATTTGGTTTACTATTAAGAAATATTTTTTTAAAAAAAATAGATTGTAAAAAAAGAAATGTTCTTTATAAAGAACATGAAAACAAGAACAGTTTAATAAAAAAAAATTTGATAGAAACACCCCACCTTTCAATAAATAATGTTTTTTTTTTTGTTTTATATAAAAAATTGTGGCAAAGGAGGCTTTTATTATTTTTATTTTACTTTTTTGTAAAAGTGGATGCTTTAGTTGGAAAATATAAAAACAGAAAGAAAGTTCGGAATTATTTAGACCTATCTATATTTTTCATGTCCAGCAAGAAAAAAAAGGAAAATTTATTTAGAAGATTTCATATAAAATTTTATTTATAATCATTCTTATTTTTTCTTATTTACGAAATATATTCTTTGGAGCACGGCATATAGTGCATATAGTATGAAACAAACCTAATGTATTCGCAACCAAGATCAGATGCGTCATGCAATTTGTTTAATTGCCGAAATTTTTATCCGGATTTATTTCCTGTAAATCCCATTAATGTCGTTTGCCGACCGTCTTTTACGATCTAATCTTGCGGGTATCAAGTTTTTTTTAAATCAATTTTTCAGCTTACTCTCCCATATACGGTAGTATTTTAGATTTCCGGGAAATTCGGGAAATTCGGAACTTTTACAGCTGATTTCAAAAAGGTCGGGACACCCTAGCAAATTTTTGAAATTAGCTGCAATTTATTCCGGATTTTTTCCCGGTATTTTTTTTTGAGGCTGATTTCAAAATATACGGACACCTAGTGTGGTAAAATTAGATTTGGCGGTAGTTTTTATTTTATTCTGTTATACCGAATCTTACCGCGGCATGGAGTAAAAATGATGGGTGCCACGCATATTATGAAATCAGCTGTAAATGCAGGGTGGACTTACAGAAGTGTGAGGATAATTTTAATTATCCGAACGAATTTATTTTTATATTTTCTTCTTGTAACACACTTGTAAATCTTAAAATAGATTCTATTTATCGTAAATTACAATATTTTATTTATATAAATAATATTACAAATTCAAAATATATATCTGATATATTTTTTAAATATTATCCTTTCCAATAACATTTTATCAGGTTAAAAACATTTTTTTTAGTCAAATTTAACTACCATTTTAAGAAAAGAAAGTGTAATTATCTCTTATTTTCTTGGTTTAATTTTAACAATTCTTTGCAAACTCTGATCTACATTTGAATGGTCTGCTATTTCTATATCATATTTTCTAAAAATCAAAGAAATTAAACACTTTGATTCTAATGTTGCTAATTTTCTTCCTGGACAGATTCTAATTCCACTTCCCCATATAGTAAAAGAATCTTTCACATGTTGTTTTTCAAGTAAATATTTATCATTCTCTTTCATCATTGCACCATAAAGCATTTGAAAGAATTGCAAAAGATAGAGGATGATGACGATGTACTTCTTTGATAACTGCTTCACAATATTTTAATTCATCAAGATCCTTATACTGAATGTTATGGGCCTTGTTAAGTCTTTACTCAATTTCTTGTCGTAATCGTTGTTTCACTTCGGCAATAAAGCAAATTAAATTTGCCATCTATGACCCAAAAGATTTAGAAATAAATAAATTTCAATTTTAAAAAGTGATGCATAGTTCTTTTTTTACTTACAGTACCTCCTTCAGTGTCAGACATTTTTCGTAACATTGATATCACGTGTATTCTCAATTTTAATTCTTCTTTCTTTAATAATATTATATGTTTTATCAAACATAAAGAATCTTTAATTTGACCACGAATAAATGGACATAATGACGAATAAACTCTATTAAAAATAAAAAAAAATAAATAAATCCTCTATTGAAAGTTTCAAGTGATTGAATAAAATTTTCAGATTCTTTAATTTTTTCATTTCCATTTTCATTTAAAGAGTCGTTATTTCGAAAATTATTTCATTTATAAATCTAGACATCCATTTTTTAAAATCCATTGCTTTATTTTCTCCTAGATTATTCCAATAAGATTCCATCCCATAATAGCTTTATCATTAAAACCTGGAGTGTTTAAAGCGGGGCAGATTTGGCCGGAATTGCGGCATTAAGAAATTACGAATGTGACAAATAATTGCGTGACAAATAGCCTATTAGTGTAACGGACAAAAATCGGTAGATCTACAGTAGATTCTAAACAAACGCGTGCGATTAATCTCGCGATTATTTCACTAAAAAATGTCTCGTATTTTTGCTCTAGATGAGTTAGGAACATCAAGAGGACGTGTAATACCTACTCGGCCTATACGAGAAATACCTGATATTGATATTGATCTTGATATCGATGATTTATCAGATAGTGATGTAGAGGATAAAAAGGAACAAGAAACTCAATTGCAAGTTGGAGAAGTATATAATAGTTATGAAACATTGAAAAGAACTTTGATTAATGAGGAATTTTCACCGGAAATTTTAGAGTTTCAAGATAGAGCTATAAATAATTTAGATAAATTAATACAAGAACAAGTACGTAATAAATAAAAAAATTATATGAATATGAATATTCTGTTTAGATATTTTTTCTCTAAAAAATTTTTTTTTTAAAGAATGCTATTTCGAGTGAAATGTTATTAATTCGTGAAAGAAAACCTTTTGGTATGCTTCTGTTTAGTGATATTGATCGTATTAAATATATTATGGAAAAATATTTGCTATGTAGAAGAGTTAAGGTATTATTACAAGATTTTATTTATTATAGTCGAAACATTCAAGAACACTAAAATTTTTATTTATTCAAGATTGAAAATCAAGTCTTGAGCATTCTCTCATCTCCTATATATAAAGGAAGATTATCCGAAGCCGAATTAAGACACGCGGAAGAGTAATTTTTACTTTATTTATTATTAACATTATTTTTTTCAAATTTTTTTAACATTATACATTTCATTTAGTTATAAGAAATTACTTGAAGATTATCTAAAAGCTGAACTTGGCAACAAACTTCCAGAAGATTGTTTGGAGGATGGTCAGTTTTTTCACGTAAATCATAATAAAGTTTAATTGGTTATTCAAATGATTTGTTTTATAGGTGTAATAAAGACTTTTGAAAAAAGACCGGATCTTTCGAAACCAGTATTTTGTCGCGTTATAAAACCTTTAGTTCCTAAGGATTCACAAGACACGTAACAAAAAAATTTATTTGCTGGTGATATTTATTAAAATACCATAAATTAACTTTCATTCTGGAATATTTTTAGTAATTTAAAACACGAACCAGGAGATGTTATTATGGATAAATATATGTATATGAGAGATGCTCTCGAAGATAAATCCGTAGAATTAATATAATTTGAAAATTATATTTTCACCGCTGACAAAGTCAAGCAAGCAAAAGCAACTCTTTAAATATTCTTGAGAAAAGATTAGAAAGATCAGATTAATTGAGAGGTAAATATATTTGAAAATATAAATACAATATTGACTAAAGGGTATACAATATACATTAACGTTTAAAAGCTGCTTTTTAATGAAGCTGATTTTGGTTTTTCATAAAAAAATTTGCATAAGCGCAATTATTATGTGGCAACGATAATTTCATAGATTAATTTTTTTTTTTAATAACTCATTTAATAATAAAACACGAAATATTGTTTTCAAAATATGTGTTCTTTGTAGAAAAGTATTAATAACCCCTAAAATTAGTCTTGATTATACAATAAAAGTTATATTAAATGTATCTTTGAACAACCACTGAATTAAGGAGAGATGCGTCGATTAATGTTTGTTTCTCATCTTTGAGATCTCTTGATGGAAATGTAGTTTGTAAAATATAGTTACGTTGTGCTTCTCCAACCCGTGAACTAATTAAAATTAAGAAATATTATTTTAGTGAAATTAAAAATATAAACATATTTTACATAAAAGAGACACGTACGCATTAATGAAACTTCGAATGTCTCCAACTGTGTGTGTATGATTAAACCTAGAACGCAATCTAAAAAAGCGAAAAGATAGTTAATTGAATAAAATCATAAACTTTATATAAAGTTTTTTTTAAGTTTACCTTGTTCCATCACCCAATCGGATTTGAATGGATGTTATTGGTAACGATTCATCTATTTCTAATTCTCTTGTTCTTGGTGCGGGTGCGGCTTCACTTGATGAAGAAGTTGAGGGATATGCACCTGGTGTACTGCTAGTAATTACAGTCGGTGTAGGACTAAAAAATAATAAAGATAAGTAATCTTATTTTCACAATAATATTAGGCAAAACTAACTAACCTTCCAAGTCTTTGCCCAGTGCCTGAAAATGGCTTGGAAGGCTTCTTTGGTGGAGGTTTATAATCCTCATCTAGCCTGCGAGCTACACGTACGTCCACTGGCTGATCTTGCCTTACATTTAGCAATGCCAAAGGAGCGCGCCTATATATATTTTACAGGAATCGTTAATTTTCATATATCACTAATATCACTAATGTGCTTGAAAAATCAGAAAAATAGTATTATTTACCCGCTATTGATGGCTCTTAAGAATTCTTCGTTCGATGGATCATCATAAGACATTAGTGGACCATCCTCAATGCTGAACCCATTTCTCCAGAATGTTAAATGACGAACAACCTGCAGTTATTTAAAATGTAAATCATCCATCATAAGGTTATACACAGGCGGTCTCGATTAACCGGGCTGTTCCGTTAGAAAAATCCGATATATCAAGAAATTCGATATATTGATAATAATCCGTTCCAGACCCAACTCTAATGTTCTGGTTTATCGAAGGTCCGGTTTATCAAGATTACCTATGTAATTAAATTTGAATATATTGAACTTACCGGAGTAGGTGGTTCTGTTGGTGCGGTTGGTGTAGTTGGATTACTAATTGCAACGGAAGGCTCATCTTCGCTTCCAAGCTTATAACCTAAAGTTTGAAATGGAATTTATTGGTAAGATAAATAATAAACGTTATTATTGAGTAAGCATTTAAGTTACAAACCAGTTCCGGAAAAAGAAGAATTCTCAGGTGGTCTAGTAACTTCTAGTTCTTCAGTAGGTCCACGACCACTTCTGTTATATAAATAAAACCAATCAATCGCTGCTGTAAATATGATCATAAACATAATAAAAGCTTTTATTTGAATGTCATTAATTACTCTGCTGCCTTCTTTAAGATGTCTGAAACTAATGAGTTCGATGGCTTTGTTGGTTTAGCATTAGGATTCTGCATAAAGATACCACTACATATTCCAATGAAAATGTTACAGTATTGTAAATACATTATTAAGAATAGGATTTAAGAATTACATACGATTTTTCGCCTCCAGCAAACAAATTTTCGCGTTCCTCGTCCTCCTCTTCTTCTTCAGACTGTTCTTTATCAAGATCATGTAAAGTAGCGAAAGAGCTTAGGGAAGAATTTAAACATTAGAAAGCAAAACATAAATGTTTAATAAAACAAATTGGTTTTTAGTGAGTTTGAAAGAAAAGTTTCTAACATACCTTCTTGGGGCCGTTGTAGAATGCGTTCCCTGAAATGGCCCTCCAGTATCGCGAGAGCCCGAGGCAGTGGCTTCGGGTTCCCCAATTGTTGATTCTGCATTCGTACCATCGTAATAGTTAACTACAGCCGCCTATTAAATAAAAAAAACGCGACTCAGAAAATGAACAAAAGCAATTTAATTAGTTAATTTGTAAACAGCTAAGTACATTTAGATCCCAATTAGTTGCTTCTAAATAGAATCGTGCTTGTTGTTCGTTACAAGAAACAATTCCAGTGAACTGTGCAATCAAATCAGCTTCGTCAGTCATAATTAGAATTAGAGAAATTTCAAATTAAATTCGTATTTTCATTTATTTTATCCAGATGTCATACAAAAACATGCATAACTTACGTGTACGTAGCACGTCTGTATGTGTATTTTTTAAAAAAAAATTTCACGTGATAGTTATTGTTTCTTACTTTTGACGAATTTCTTTAGCGAAATGGTATGTGTATCATTAAATAAGTTAAATTTATTGATAAGCGCATAATTAAAAGATGTTTGCGATTATAGGATCGGTTCAATCTTAATAGTCAACTCGAACATTGTAAGTTTTTGCAATCAAACCTTCTCTAATTGCACACTATGACTCAGTCTATTATTTACTTGAGGGAAATTACATTATAGTAGTTCCTTTTACTAATATCTGACTTTTATTAAATTTAGTACAATCTAAGTATGTTGGAACTGGTCATGCAGATACAAATAAATTGTAAGTGATATTGGCAGCTTTTTTTCTTTTTATTTTAAAAATTAATTGACTTTTAAACATAGCGAATGGATGGTAAATCAACATCGAGATAGCTACGCTTCGTATATTGGTCATCATTCTTTAATTTCTTATTTTGCCGTAGCACAAAACGAAAGCATTGCCAGGGTGAAATTTGAGTTTGTAGAAGTAAGTATTATGCCGACAATAAAAATTTTTTTTTTTTTACACATTATTTACATTATTTGAATTAAATTAACCATTAAATATTTTCGTTAAAAGAAAATGCTGCAACCTTGTGGATTGCCTGTTCCTAGAGACGAATAATAACTATTCACAGTTTATTAGAATTTTTTATATTATAATGCATTATAATCATCCTAAAAAACGTTTACTGATTGTTATTTGAAGATTAAAAAATTTAGCTAATGCGAATTTCTATTTTAACGTGGAAATTTTAATATATCGGCGAAACCTACTTAGTTTTAATGTTAAAAATTTTTTTAATGAAAATAAATAACGATACGATTATAAGTCACTATGTATTACGAGTTACTTTATTTCAAATTGGCAAATTTTCATTTGCCCACAATTTAAATGTCCGATCAAATCCAGAAGAAGCAATAAATCTATTATCTAAAGACAAATAAATATATATAAGTATAAAAAAAAAACAATCAATCTTAGTCAAGCATATATACTAACCTGAAGAAACGTCTACAGACATAACTTTTCCGTCATGTCCTGCTAGACTCTTTAACAAGTTCCAATCATCTGCAGACCATATATTAACAAATCCATCGTATCCGCTACTTACTAAATACAATCCAGATAATGCGGGTCTAACGCCATTTAGCAGTTCATCATTAGCTAATGTCACTGAACCATGGAAAAACCTTGCTTCCGATACAAGAGATTTATGTGCAGCGATAGCATATATACATCGCAAGGTTCGAATGTCCCAAATTCGAATCGTATTGTCAGCACTTCCAGTAACAACTTGATAACTAGAGAATGAAAAAATTGTCCGGTAAGCAATATTAAAAACAATGTAACTATTAGTGTTTATCACTTACCCGTTTGGTGAAAAGTCCACTGATAAAATATCTTTAACATGTCCCTCTAAAACCATCGTAGATCTACCTGTTCTTAAATCCCATACTCTTCCTATTGCATCTAATCCACTACAAAAAAGAAAAGGACACGTAAATTAAGGTTTCTTCAGATCTCATTGCTTCCTATCAAAAAATTCAAATACCCTGTGGCGACTAATGCACCATCTATTTGGAATTTAATTGCATAGACTTCTCTTGAATGTCCTTCTTGTAAAAGCAACTCTTCTGTAGTTTCGACGTCCCAGAGACGCCATGAAGTATCATAACTATATATTAAAAAACATTTAATATGAAACAAAATAATGATGATGATGATGAGATTTTAAGAAATACCTCGCCGATCCAAGAAACCGTCCAGAAGGATGAAAGTCAATCTTTGAAACCCTAGCAGTATGTCCTTGTAATGATGCCAATGGTGATTCACTCTCTAATGACCACAAGTTAATAAACCCATCAGCTCCTCCCGAGGCCAAATTTACTACATTTCTATCAATGGATATGGTTGCCTGTGGATGCCAAGAAACTCCCCCAACTCGATCAGTATGACCTAATATTTGTGTAAATAAGTTAAAATAAATGATAAATGATATCTTACAAAGTAATAATACAAACCTTTTAAAGTAGCAAATGTATTACAACTTGGTACACTCCATATCTTACATAGTCCAGACCACGAACCAGTAGCAACCAGATTACAATCTGGTGAAAAAGTACATTGTGAAGTTGGTCGATCATCTCCAATTTGAGAACTGAAATTTGCATAAGACTAAAAGTATATTGAAAAGAATCAATATTAACTATTAAACGTTTGATCTTAAGCAAAAAACTTGTTCAAAATTCAGTTGCCTTTAATTCTGAAAATAAATCTTTTCGTAATGATTTTAGCTGAGGTAATGGTAATTCATATTCCAAACGTTGCTTTTGAAGTCGATCTCTTGCTCTATAAGGAAAATAGTCAATATACTTTGTGGATCAATATAAAGTTATATTTAATAACTAACCTGGGTAAAGAGTAACTTGCAATCCATCGCCGAGCTTCTAACAATTCTGGAGTTCCTTGAGTAAAAAACTCCTCCTCTTTCTTGATTTATAAACACGAACTAAGTCCACTTGTTCGTCAATACGTTATTCAATAAACACATAGCAATTATGGTCACACAAACCATACCTCTTCTTCAGATTCGGATGCGGATGATTCTTCCTCATCAGGAACAATTTCAGTTCCTTCTTGTTTTGAAAGTAAATATCGTAGACGATCGCGTCTATCTCCGGGCTATTAAAATTGACACGTTATTATAAAAAATTTTAGAAATATACGTTAATTGAAAATTTTGCTTACGCCTTCACCGAACAAACATTGTGGCTCTCCTAGCTCTCTAAGCTTTGCTCGAACGCGTCCATCATCAGTTGGTACTGCGAGTGTTCTGGCACGTTTCTTACGTTCAAATTCGTCCAAAATTGCTTGGTGTTCCTCACGTGATTTTTTAGACGATTCGGATAATTCATAATTCATCGAACTGTCGACTGTGAAATAATAATTTTGATGAACATAATCTTGCAAATCATTAAAAAAATAAATCTTTCACTAACCTAAATCTTCTAAAGAGACTCCATTTAAGTCCTTTACATATATAATTATTCAAATTATGAAGTGAGTCAATAAAGCTGAGACAAATGGACAACTATGACAAAATCATACTTCTGCAACTGTTGTCTTCCTTCTATTTTGACGTTCAGATTCTTCAATGCTACCAAAATGAACTCGTCTAGATAACGTACTAGACAATGAGGTTTCACCAGAACGCTTGCTCGGTTTATTACTATCAATATCCATAGGAGTTGACATATTTAAGGATGTAACATGCAAATGGCTGCTCGCGAAGCCGATTTGTTTTTTATCAGCCTCTTATATTTTTTTTCCACGTTTTTGTACAACTTGAGAGAATATTTATTTAATATATTTATTTAATGTCACTTAATTTCATCACTTCAACCAATAGAATTTAGACAACAAAAATTTATTTCGATAACAGATAAGCGAGCTGTTAGGCGTGTAATTCAAATTTTTGAATTGTAAGTATAGACAAAAAATGTCTGAATATAACCAAGTTCGCCTGAGGCAAAGTGGACATACTGAGAGTGAAGTGCCAATTCAAGAAAACTTTGACGATAAAAAGAAGGTATGCATTTGTTGTTAAGACCTTTCCCAGTGAATTTGTTTATAAAATTTATTATTATAGGAAACAATTTTCAAAAAACGAGAAAGCAAGCCCGATGTAGCTTCAAGAGCCACCTTAGCGGTGCTAACTCTATTGTCTTTTGCGACCCGTTTCTATAATATCGACTATCCATCTCAAGTAGTGTATGTATACATTTTTATTTAACCCACTTGATTAAATCTATTTAAAACCTACTATGCATGATTAGATTGTAATTGAATCTATTCATCCTTAATTCGATAGCTTCGATGAAGTTCATTTCGGTAAATTTGCAAGTTATTATCTTAAAAGGGCCTATTTCTTTGACGTTCATCCTCCACTTGCAAAATTGATGTTTGCCGGAATGGGGTATCTACTTGGTTATGATGGCCATTTTGAATTTGATAATATCGGTGACGATTATATAGAGAATGATGTACCTTATGTTGGATTAAGAGCTTTGCCTGCCACTTTAGGCGCGCTTTTTGTTCCTCTAACATATATGATTATGATAGAATCTGGATATCCGATAATTACCGCGATTTTTGCTGCTGCATTAGTATTGTTTGGTAAGAAAAATCTACTAAACAAAATTTTAATAACTCGTTTAATGATTTTAATTTTCTTTTAACTATTTCATTTTCTGTAGATAATGCTTTGATTTGTCAAACGCAACTTATCCTTCTAGATTCTATGCTTGTATTTTTCATGCTTTGCACTTTTTATTCTTACATCAGATTTTGCAAACTTCGTATGAGGTAATTATAAATAATTATTTTTAACTCATACAAATTTGACGGTAATAATAATATTTTCATTATTCATAAGAGAATTTTCTAATGAATGGTGGATTTGGCTAGTTGCCTCTGGAGTTTCACTTGGGTTAACAATAGGCGTTAAGATGGTGGGATTATTTACAGTCATGACTATTGGGGTTGCCGTTCTTGTCGATTTGTGGAATTTATTAGACATTAACCGTGGGTTGACAATGGTAATTTTAGTTAGAATTTTAATCTATGGTTTCGTACTTTATTTTTATTAATTAATTTACGTTTACATTTTAAAGGCTCAATTTAGGAAACATTTCGCTGCACGAGCCATTGGTTTAATAATTGTCCCAATTTCAGTTTATTTGTTTTTTTTCTATCTTCACTTCCTCATATTGAATACAAGTGGGACTGGCGACGTGTTTATGAGCCCTGCTTTTCAAGAGACGCTACAAGGGAATGAAATGAATCTTCAAAGTTCCGGTAATGTTTTCAACTTGTTTTTATACTTGTTTTTCATAATTTACAACCTAACACTTGTGGTTTTATTTTTATGTTTGCAGAGATAAGATTCAATGATACTATTACTTTAAAACACAAGGATACTTCGGTCTTTTTACATTCGCATACTGAAAATTATCCGCTTAGATATGAAGATGGACGGATTAGTAGTCAAGGTACGATATTTACGCGTCTCTTTATATTAATTTTATAAATAAAATTTTACAATAAATTAATTGTAATCTTAGGTCAACAAGTAACAGGATATCTACATAATGATACCAACAATTATTGGCGTATTAAACCAGCGGAAAATTTCTTTGACAATTCAAGACCAGAGAATGACACAATTAAGCACAAGGATTATATCTTACTTGAACATATTGGCACAAATTCACATTTATTAACACATGATGTAGCTTCACCACTTATGCCAACTAATCAAGAATTCACTACAATCCCAGTAGACGATGATTCACGTTATAATGAGACAATATTTCAGGTTCATATTAATGATGGAGAGTCTGATACTGTATGGAAAACTAAATCAAGTTATATACGCTTAATTCATTATAATACTAAAGTTGCTTTGTGGACACATAGTTCAGAATTACCCGAATGGGGATTTAACCAACAAGAAGTTAATGGTAATAAAAATAATGTTGAAAGAAGTAATATTTGGATTGCAAATGAAGTTGTTGGTAAAAATTGTAAGTAAGAATGTCTTATTTTATTCCCTTTAAGGAAAGAAATTCATTAATTTAAAATTTTGAATTTAATTTATTTTTATTTATAGATACAGAACCTATGGAACCAAAAGAACTAAAAAAGATACCATTTTTATTAAAATATTTCGAATTACAACGTTTAATGATAAGTCATAATTCAGGATTAACAAAACCACATCCATATTCAAGTGGACCAATTAATTGGCCATTTTTAATACGTGGTATATCATTTTGGACAAATAATGACGATAGACAACAAATTTATTTATTGGGAAATCCTTTTAATTGGTGGCTAACTGTTGCCTCAATGGCTGTACTTGTTGGAGTCTTATTAGCTGATATAATTTCAAGACGACGTGGTTTTGAACCTATAAACAAACGTAAGTATTTAAAGAATTTTTAAGGGCCTTTCCTTTATTCAAATATTAATTCATTTTATTTGTTTTGTGAAAAAATGACAGCCGTTAGAATTCGCTTGTATAATTCAGGATGTTTCTTTTTCTTAGCATGGTTTTTCCATTATATACCATTTTATTTGATGGGCAGATCGTTATTTTTACATCATTATTTACCAGCATTAGTATGTAGTTATATGGTAACGTCAATTGTATTTAATTTTATGTTTGTAAATTCTGTCAATTATCCAATATTAATTAGTAGTGTCGGTAGCAATAATATGTCAAGTAATAGACCTAAAGTTCATTCAGTATTAAAGGCTGGAGTAGATTATATATCAATTATTATTGCTACAATATTAATTTTTATATCATTTGGAGTTTACATATATTTTGCTCCTTTAACTTATGGTACGCCTGGGCTTGATCCTTCTGGCATACATAATAGAAGATGGTTAGATACTTGGGATTTACATTTTCAACCAAAGAGAGGTGAAATTTAAATTATTTAAACGGAAAAAAAAAATAAGTTATTTATAATTTAATGAAAGTAAATGTTATGAGGATTTTTTTCGTTTTCTATTTATTTCTTTTTTATCACCAAAATATATATATATACCGATAGACATAGATGATTTTTATACACATTAGCAGTTTATTTATTTCATAATATAACAAAAAAAAAAACAGAATTTTAAAGTATTAGCTTTTCACGTCAAAAATTATGAATTATGATCATAAATTAAATCTTCATCACTAAAAAAGAGTCACATAATAAGTTTTCGAAACTTTTTAGCAGTAATACTTTGTTAAGATCCTGCGATATTTTCTTTATGATCGATTGAATATACACAATTTTATTGTTGTATCACATATCACAGGTATATATCACTATTTCTTTTTTTTATAAAAAAAAACATATATATCAATGAGAATCTTGTAACAGGAATAACAAATCCAAAAGCAAAAAAAAAAAAGTATTTTAACCCTTTTTTTTTTTAAATGACCAAATATTAAAAGGCTATTAAAAAAGAGTGATAAATCATAAAAAATTGACAGATTTAAAAGCAAATAAAAGAAAAAAAAGTAATAGAAAAATAAGGATAATCATCTAAATCTATTATCACCCTTTATAGCTTTACACATTTACAAGATATCATCCCAAGTTTCATTAAATGATCCGTCAGAATCTGTATCCGGCTCACTGTCATCAATGTCATCTTCTTCACGTTTTTTCATACATTCTATTCAATGAGAATGAATGAATGATTAGTCGTCGATATTTACCAATTAATGATCAAGGAATCATAGCTTGAACTTACCAAGGCACCTCGCTTTTTCAGCATTTTTTCTTTGAGCCTAAATTTACCAATTAATTTTTATATATTAAGAAAAATCAAAAAATAATCGTAAGATAAATTAAAATATAATTCATTGAAACGAATGAATGCTTAATAATTGAAATATAATCATAATTGTACCGAGATTTACGCAAAATATGAAAATAGCACTACAAGATTTCTTAAGAATTATTCAATACGTAATTATCAACCATGAATTTACCTTTGCAAACGAGTCCAATGGTTTAGTTCGCGTACAAATCATACAGGTCAACGAGCTGTTCTGTTGTGGAGTGCATTGTTTGCACATAATATGATGTTTCTTTGTAGTCCTCCCTTTAGGGGCATATTCTATATTATTTTGAAAGTGAGTTCACATTTATTAATTATCAACGAAGTAAGTTATCTACAAAAAAAAATCATTTTATCATTCAAAAATGCTTACCGTTATGGATGTTCGACATGTACTTCGCAATTTGTGTTTTTGAGAAGGAATGAGCAGGTTTATTTTTATTACAGCCATAACATGTTATTTTATCTGGGACCTTAGGTCCTTGTGAATTTGCGCCTTGAGCAGAGTGACTCATATTCATTTAAGATTTTGATAAAAAAAAAATCGATAATTAGACCAGAAGAGTACCTATTTATATAATATATATCTTGTGATTATGTGGAACATAAGCGAATTATCTTGTACGACACTAACATAATTTTTTTTGTAGGTAAACCCCTAATTGTAAATTTATGGATGATTTTTTTGTCTAAAGTTCGTCATATCGTTTGTTCTTCTTTTGTCACACTGCGCAAGTCGGTGATATTACCTTTCTCTTTTACATTCTTCCATCATTTCTATATTGTAACTTTCAAAGAACCTTGTAATCACATGAGATCAAAAAGAGTACAAGTACTATGTAACAAAATCGGGAGGCTTATCTTTTTATCATATGTAGATGTTTTTGTTCCCAAATTTTAGATTTCCTTTTTCATGGAACAAAAACAATCGATAAACATGAAAACTTTTATATTGGTTCATTTTCACAACGGGAATTACCAGAAAAGGATTCTTCTAAGGCTTTTTTTTTTTTGCTCCTTACGTTTAGTAATGACCAATAATAAAATTGAAATATAAATAAAAGTTATATACATTAATAATCGTGATTGGCTGAGTTTATTTTTATTTTTTTTTTTCTGAAGATCAAATTATAAAAGAACTCGAATTCGAATTTGTGAAAAACTTTTTTTTTTGTCCGTAAAAAAAAAACAATTCTAATCAACAAATATACAATTTAAGAGAACAAAAAAAAAATATAATTATAAATATAGATTGCGTAATTCTTTCTGCCAATTTCTTAATATTATAATACAATCCTAAACATGTTTTATCATTTATATATATACAGTGATACAATTTGTTCACGCGTTTAAAATTATCCTTCCTAATCTTTACTAATCTTTTTCCCAAAAATCTCAATGATTAACATGAAAAAATGACCAATAAATTTACGATTATTAAGTTTTGAACTATCTTGAAATGCAGACCCAAAATAAGAGTTTTACTACGTCACATCCTCAAGAAGGTTACACGAGTCTCAGCATTAAGATGTTTTTTCTTATTTCATAGAATCCATTATATACATATATATATATATATATACTGTATAATATATATATATTATAAAACGGAAATTTTGAATTAGAGTAATTGAGGAATCTGATAAAATCAAACCCACCTGATATTTTATGCGAAAATGAGTTGTCAATGATGAGTTATCCAAAGCACAACAATATGCTGAAAAACATGATGGGTATATCCAGTCTTAATCTCTTCATGAGCCATAACATAATAGGGTACGTGCTTCGCTAACAAGATATTTGCACATGATTTAACTATTTGGCGAAATTAAGAGTAAATTCATGTTATGATATCAACTATCAATTTAAAACTTTTTTACTTAATCAAAGTTATGCGATGAGGAGATGTCTGATTTGACGCTATTTGATGGAAATTATAAATAATTAATCGAAAATATAATTATTATTATTATTAGAGGTTATTATTTAGAAAAATTATTTGTTATTATAAGATTACTTACATAAATATATCCTTCAACATTTTGATTTTGAAAATTCAGCGATAATTATATATTCATAATAAAATTATTATGAAATTAATTTTTTGAATAATTTTAATTTTTAATTATTTACTTTCGCTGTTCCATTCAGTTTTCGGCATTTTTTATCGATTATTAAAACATATTTTTTAGTAAATAACTATGTAGGACTGTTAAGGGGAAAGAAAATATATAGATGCGCGCATTTATCTATGATAATCGTAAACAATTAAGTTAATCGATTTCCTAAAATCTTTTTAGTATTGAATTAACATAAAAATCGATACTATACCTAAACTGTGTAACCTGGTAATGAAAAAATTCCACAAGATTCTTAAAATAGCGGACAGGGCATAAAAACAGTATGTACATGGCAATATAGTATAATGCTGAGTTACTATGGAAAAAAAGTTTTCAAAATAATTTTCATTTTGGCAAATATAACATTACTATCACGAGTCATTTTATGTTGACTGTAATATCGTTGACTTGATATGAGTACTTTTTTTATTCATATGAGTAATTATATTTAACTTTTAACAACCTATAATGAGACAGGACACATCAAGAGATTATTTTATAAACACATTTTTATAAATTATAAATATCATATGAAAAAGTTAAAAATTAAAGAAGTGGTATATTTTCATATATTTTTATCATTATTATTATTATTATTATTATCAGTTATTATTTTGTAATCAAATTTATTTCATTAGTTAGATTTTATATTATAGATTCGAATTACTTTATCGTGCTAGTAGGAAGAGCTACTATGGTGATAGTAAAATTTGCAACATGTGCAGTACTCAGAACACTTAATTGGAAGTTGAGTGGCGGGATATAAATAATATTTATTAATAATACCAACGTATAGTAATAATATTTATGTTAAAGTATATAACGTCATTTGGCCTAAATTATTGCTTATTTAAAATAATTTTTATTGCTAACGTGTATAATATTTATTCCTGGATGTTCTTTTTATGTACAGAAAATTTTACGGAAATAATATACTTATTATACTTATTCGCAATTGTTAGTTAATAATTTCCATTTTTATTTAGCAAAAAATAAATAAATGCTTCACAAATAAGTTTTAAATTTATTTGGTTACTTTAACACCTTTCCAAAAAGCAACGTAATTCTCAATATTTTTTGCTTTTTCCAACGCTTTAGGATAATACCAAGCAGCATTTTCATTTGTTTTACCTAATTCAAAATAATAATAATAAATCATGATGTTTAACCAATTTTTTTTTTAAAAAAAAAGATTTGTTAATAAATACCATTAACGACAATATTGTAATATGAAGCTACTCCTTTCCATGGACATGTTGAATTATGACTAGTTGTTTGAAGAAATTCTGATTTAACACTGTTCGGTGGGAACTAATCGAGAAATAGTTATAATAAAGATAATTTATCAAAACAATTATTTAAATATTATAAAGATTACTTACATAAATACTTCCTTCAACTTCTTGGAAGTCATCAGATTCAGCGATAACTTATAATATAAATTTATGGAGAATTTTATGAGAAAATTTATTATAATAATTATAATAATTAAAGTAATCCAAATTTTATAAATTATTTACCTTCTCCATTCCATTCAGCTTTTGGCATTTTTGTTGATTATAAATTTTGTTAATTTTAAATTTCGAGATTTCAAGTAAACTGAAATTTTGTTTGTATTATATATCTTTTCAAGAAATAAGGATTATCATTAACGTTTATAATAAAGTTTTTATATCATGTATAACATTTCTTATTTTAGTTAAATATTCAGCTTATTAATTGGGAAATGGTAGATATAGATTTGATTAATCTCCCGTAATCATATGACATGTTTATATTCCTATGGTTTAATATAGCCAAAAGTTAAATTCCACGTATTTTCATCTTCAAAGCGTAATGATGATATATTGTGTGTTTTGATTTATTTATTGCAATGGTATTATTTGTTTTTGGGGTTTTTTTGTTCGTTTTAATAGATGGTCGTAGGTTACTGTAAGTTTATACAGTCTCACAAATGTCATTAAAATAGCGGAATTTGTTCATTTTACCCATTATATCTGTAAAATTCTATGAGGAGATAATTAATAATTACGAAATTTTATGCTGGTGAAAAGCCAATTATAGAAGAATTTCTTATTTATTTATTTGTATTGTGATCTTTTCAATCACTTACCTAAAATATTTAAGGTATTAAAATATAATAACTTAATTTACTTTCACACAAAAAATATTTACAGTGAACTTAAGCAATGAAAGCAAGAAGCATTAATAAATTTATTTGTAAAATATATTATAGATATTTAAAGCTATTTTATGAATTGTGAAAAATATCTATACTAATATAAAGACAGATATTTAGTATCATCCATCATTCGTCTTATGTATCTGTAATATGTTCAAGCTATTTGTGAATATATTTATATTCAATACAATAATTAAAGCTACAAATATTTAACAAATTAAAAAAAAAGTGAAATTTTTATCTGGCAGTAAACGCGTGTTTCATTAAAATCTATATCCATCAATACACATATTTTATATGAAGTCAAATGGATATTTTCAAGTATGAAAGCCACGAGTGTGAACCGCTTGTCATGTCTGCTTCACTCAAAAATGTCTCGTGTTTTCTTTCCAGTGTATAATGAGAGTGGTACCACAGTAAATTTTGATAGCAAATAGCTTAGTAGTACCCTGGCCACTCTTCCATTCCCATTAACGAAAGGATGAATATACAAAAATTGATGAAAAAAACATACTCCATATTTTATGGTTTCTTCCAATTGAAGGTCTTCTTTTCCAAATTCTCTTCTACATTAGTGGAATAGTTCATTCATTTTGCCCTCTATTAAACTTGAAGACGCTGGCATAACGAGTTTTGTTCTGTATTGACCTGCATTTTCAATCAAATCGTTACTAATACTTGTGTAATTGTTGTGCAAACAACGGATTAGTGATCTATCAGCAGAATAAATGTCAGTTATAGCATCATGCAGATTTTGCACTTTTTTAACCAAATGTGCATTGTAAGATTGTCTCTTAAAAATTATTCTGTAAATATAGCTTGAAAAAATTTGAAATCACAATGTAAAGGTCTATGTTGCTTTCTGTTTAAATACATTCGACTAGTGATAATAGTTAATGTATTCCTTCCAAAGTAAAACGTTTCCTTTACCAATAGCTGATAATATGCTGCGTTAGAGGATTTTAGTACTTGAGATAAAATATTTTATGTCAACGGTCATCAAAATCCGAATGCCAAGTTGGAATATATCATCAAAGACATTTTGCGAATTATAATATAAATTTTGCGAATATAAGTTTTGTTTTGTAAATTATAAGTTTTGTGAGTTGACGTTTGTTAAAGTAAAGGTGATTAGGTATTTATAAATTTTTCTGTATAGTAAATGATGCAAGTGATGTAATATGATATCATTAGGTTGCGAAAAAAATTTAATTTATTGGATATATTATTTAAATTATCATAAATTCCCATATTACATAACACATAATAATAAATTGAATTTTTCCCAAATAAAAAACTTGGGATGACTAAAATTTTATGGTGATTTTAGGTCATAGAGAATCTGCACGAGAGTTGATGTCTATTTTTTTTGATTTGAATTTGATTTCCGAAGTGTAGACGCAGAATAAAAATGTATGATACGAGATATTAAGGAGTTACGGTATTATTTCTTTGGAGAGGAATTGGACAAATGCCTTGCTCACTATGAATACTGAGGGAGAGCATAAGGCTCAAAAAAAGTCAGATGCGTCTGCGCACATATTGGCTATTCCATGGTAAAGGTCTTTCTCTATTTTTTTTAGTTAAAAGTAATTTGATCGGTAAATTCAATCGAATAAATACAATAGTAAAAAGACAAAAATTTGGTGCAAACATTAAATAAATAGCTATTCTTTTCACTCCTTTATATTTAGGCAAATTACTCATTCTTAAATGAGATTTACCTTTTTACATATAATTGATCAATTGACCAAATTTTTTTTTTTTAAGAGAAAAAAATATGGTTAAAGGATGAAATAATTGACAAAACAATATGATAAGAAGTTAAACATATAGTCTTTTTACACAAAAATATAAATTACCATTAAAAGATATCTTTTTTATTAAAAACATTTAATAGGAAGAGATGGAAAATAAAATTTTGATTTCACGAAAAAGAAAGACAAAACACAAGCAGTGAATCGACCAAAGAATGAAAATTCCATCTTGAAATACGAAAAAAATTTGAAAAGGATAGAATTAGACAATTCAAAATTTTCGAAATCATTTAATATTTTTAGACAATTTTGAAAAAACGAAATTAAAAGAAAAAGAAGTTGAAGAATCAATAAAGGGATTTTTTTTTTAAAAAAAAAGAAAATGTTTGTGTATGAAATAATTTAATTTTTTATCTTTTATTTTATTTAATAATTGTATTAAAAATATAATAATAAAAATAGTAACATATAGGTATAGGTAAATACTATTTTATTTTTAAATTAGATAATTACACATTCGATGGGTGCGAAACAACGGGTCACTGCTAGTATTCATTTAAAGATTTTTAACTGGCGGCGACACGTTTCGCTGTCCTCTAGTTAGTAAAAATATATATATATATATATAAAAATCTGATCAACGGATTAGTCCATAAAAAATCTTCAACGGGAACGAATTATTTTTAACGGAAATAGATCAGGCGCAGGCATTTCTATGTTACACAATCAAATTATTTAAATATCACCAAAATTTTATTAATTATATTATTATATTTATTTATTTAATTCTTATTATATTTATATATATTTACATGTAACTTAAACTAATTAAATTCTTTATTTAAAAAATTATTCAGATTGTAAGTAATTTATTATGTTTATATAATATTTACATAAATTTTGTGAATAAGGACGCGTTCTGTAGTTCTGTACAAAAGATTTTTAGTACCGCCGTTCTAGATACTTTTAGAACAGGTTAAATTGATTTTATACATTAGTCAAAAGGTGTATATGACAGAAACATTGTATCTGCTCATGTTAAATCAATAAAGTACGCAAAAAAAGAAAAAAAAAAAGAATTTTAGACTTTGTGTACAAATGTAAGTGAATGAATATACAGTAAATCATAATCATTAAATGTAACGTATTAAACAAACTTTATCTAAATGTTTGTGTTGCAGTACGCGAAAATTTGCTTATCTTCACTATTTCACTATTTACAGAAAAACATTACTAAATATTGACAATATTAACCTTCTAATATTCTAAATCTTAATACAATTTATATTAAAGAAGGATATATGCATTACTTTCACATACTTATCATTGAAATAAACATTTTTTACTTTAATCATTTACTTTAATCATTAAATAACAAATCAAATTATGTCAGTAACCTGAATTTGAAAAAGATAAGAAATCAAAACTTTACTATAAATAACAAAGATCAAAACCAAATCAATACTTCACAATTAAAAGTACCGTACAATTTTAAAAATCATAATAATGATCATGAGAGAGTTCCCGGTACTATTCACATCCTAAATATGAATGATTTTCTCATGAGAAAATAAATAATCCCGCTGATTGAACGTTAGATATTATGATAATTGTCATCTAATCTCGTGTTTGATAGTTTGGTATCGTATTTCTAAAACAAAATTATGTAAAAGGCCACTTTTTTCTATTGAGAATAATATTTATAATTGATTCAATAAGTTTTCATTGTTACTGATATTTTTAAAAAGGAAAAAATTTTTTATTCATAAAACCAATAACTGGCGATCTCGATGGTCAAGATTTCATTGATTTCATTAGTCGCATGAAAATGTTGATCCGAAAAGAATATGGTAAGGATGGACAACTTTCGATAAACGCACTTTTTAAATAACCCGTTATTATACCAAATTATTATAAATACCCTATGGAAATTCACTTAATACGTAAAATAATTAATCATGTTATTTGTTAGTCAAGTTTTTGAATTAATTGAATCCCTAGATGATGATGAAGCCAAAGCCAAGATCAAAGAGCAATTTAATTTCCTCAAACAAACCGTAGACACGAAGCTGAAATTGTTCGAGGAATCAATTGAAAATACATGTATGTCTTTAGATCCCTCCACTCCAGACTAGCTCATTTTTCGCGATAGGCGTAGCTTTTTTAATGTTGATCAAGGAGTTGATAAATCTATTAAAGATGCTATTGACATTCTATTTCCTACGGACCAGAATGACGGCAAAAAGAAACTTAAAACCGTTGACGTGTGCAAAGAACTTATTTCTGCGGGGATTGATTCCTTATTTAGAAACAACGTTATCGGTGAATCTGAACAAGCATTCGATTATATCTTATTACAAAACAATGCTCTCGTTCGCATTGATATCCGCATTTGGTACTATAAATTCTCCTCTAGCGGTGTCTTAAGTAATGTTGAGAGCGCATTCTGTTATGTCTTTAGCAAGTCAATCTTAGACCGTAACAAACTCTCTAACGACGAGTTGACCTATTACTTTAGCGAATTTGCAGAAAACTGTGGGGACAGTGTTGATGATACTATCAAAAGGATTTCCGATATTTACAATTCTGCCTCAAGTTGTAAGACTGATGATAAAAAGATTTTAAACTCGAAGCTTATAGATGATAAAACGATTTCGAATGGAGATGACGTTCAAGAAGAAAAAGAAGAAAGTAAAATAAATAGTTAAGCACTTATTAAAGATGCGGATATATATATTATCATATACAGTAGTTATATTGTTGACAATTTGTAATTTATGTAGTTAATCTTAGTTTTTTTGTAATATATCATAAATATCAATAAAGTTTCTTCCTCGGGTTAAGCTTATTTTGTGTATATATTGCATTTATAATGAATATATCTTGTTGCTAATGTATATAAATTATAAATTTGTAAATTTGTGCGAAGCGACTTTTGATTATAATAATTTCCATAGGAATTCCAATTTTTTTTTTGTGCTGGTCTCCTTAATAAATAATTCAAAGTCATCGGGATAATGGAATTATTATTAAAACATAAAATAAATAGATACCAGAAAATTTAATGTGACAGCAACGATCTCAAAGTTGGTTAATCATCAAGTTAATGGTGAACATCGCCATGCAAGATTTGACTAGAGACAGTTATTCATCAATAGAAATTTGTAAAATTACATATAAATCAAAAAGGTAACTAAAGGAAAATTTTACTGTGTCACTTTCTATTTTTATTTTTTATATACATTTTTAAAAATTAAATAAAAAAAAAAATAACATGTAATAGAAGTTGAAAAAGAGAAATATTTCATAAGATCTGAATCAATATGTTGAATTTACTTAAGTGGAAGGAGCATTGTGATTTCATTAATTAGCTGAGAGATTGAATGCTACTTACGGTTAAAAAATTACAGTTATAGTTTGATAATTTTTTAAAAAACGGATGAACAAACTAAAGCGAACACATTTTGTGATTTTGATAGGTTGATAGCGTATCTTGGATATGTAACATATTTAACAACCAATTAAAAGGCATGCATGTGAAAATTTTAGTTTGGGAATGCTGCTTTTTTTTAATTTTTTTTGAAAAATTTTTTTAAGAGAAGTTTTGGATTTTTTTTTTAATAAAGATTTGTTTTAAGGGTTTGTTTGGGTCATTATTTGATAGAAATTTTGTTTGAGAAATTCTTTGAGAGTTCGTTTGGAATATTAATTGAAAAAATAATTCCAATTATTTTAATTTTGAATTGAAATGATATGTTCAATGTTGGCGAACTAGTTTATATATAATCAGGATTTATCGTTGAGATAAAAAAAATTAACATATAAAATAAAAGCCAAAAAATTATTAACATTGAATTGAATTGAAAATGGTGTGAATAAGGATGCATCGACACATATCGATCAAATTTATAGAACAAATAGAGCAAATTTTAAAATTTTTCGGGTTTGATATTATACAAAACGTAAAAGAACTGAAATATTTTTTGAATAATGAAATTATAACTTTTTACAAATAGGGTTAGACATGCGATCAACACCTTCTATAAAGTATTTCCAAACTAAAAATCGAATTTTCCAAAGTACTATTCATCGTCTCATTATATAAGAATTTGAAAAAACTATAAATATGTCGAATTTTCTACATTTACTTATACTGTAATATTATAAAATGGAACTTGTAAAATTAAATGATGAAAATTCTTTTGATCCGACACCAAAATTAAAATCTAGTTCCGTACCAATTTTTTTTGTTTCTTTTGATAAGGATGATGAAAATTGTATTCATTGTGGAGAAAAATACATGAAAACGCTTTTAAGTAATCAAAAATATTGCAAAACGTGTTTATCGAGTTATTTAACTAATATAACCGATAACAATATATACTTGGACTATTTATTCACAAAGGACTTAAAATGTAATGAACATGAAATAAGTAGAATAAAAGTACTACAAAGTATTCAAAACCGCTGTAGAAATTGTTTAATAATATTATGTTTTAAACAAATACCTGGTTATTATTCTTATCCGTATGATGTGTATTGCAAAAACGTGATTAAAGGTGAAAAATATTGTAAACTATGTGGAAAATTATTATCTCGTTATTGTTCGATTATACTTAAATTATGTTCAAATTGTTATCTAATATCTTCCGGACGTATAGAATCAACCTTGACTAAAAAACTTATTTCAATTATTTATTTGCCATTTTGGGAAAATAGAACTCATTGTTATTGTTCTAAAAAATTAGTATTTACATCAAACTGTCAAAAGTATTGTGGGGATTGTTTCGTATTTGTTATCGGATGTAGATATTGTTTAATAACAAATATTATTTTTGGATATACAAATCAATCACAATGTAAAAAATGCAAAAGAGTATCAACCATTATTTTTGATATCACAAATATTATTAGTGGGTATAGTGATTTATATGATTTTCTTTCTAATGTAAGATATGAATCGGAAATAGCTAAATTTGCTAACGATGTAAAAAATATTGATAAGTATTTCGTTCCATTCGAAATATGTGAAAAATTATCAATAAATAGATCACAAATGTTGAAATATATACCATATTCTCAATTTACAAATGTAAAAAGAATAGCAAAAGGAGGATATGGTATCGTATATCAAGCAACTTGGTTAAATCGGACTAAAAATGTCATTTTAAAAAGATTTAAAAGCAACAAATGTTTTTTGGATGAGGTAAATTCTTTAAAAATCTTATTTATTTTATTTAATGTTTGTAAAATATTTTAATTTTAATCTTGAAATTTATAGTTAAAATCGAATTATCATTGTTGTTATGAAATATATTATGGTCTTATTGAAACTTATGGTTATACAAAAGATCCCAAATTGGATGATTATATATTAGTCATGCAATATGCATCAGAAGGAGATTTACATAAATATTTACAGAAGGAATTTACAAAAATTAATTGGGGAAAAAAAATAACTATTTTAGTATATATTTCAAGAGGGTATTTATATTTTTAATACATTGGTAAATGATTAACTCGTAATACTAACTTATTTATTAATTTTATTTTAGACTCTTTGCTATTCATGATGAAAATTTCATACATCGAGATTTACACAGTGGAAACATATTGGTTAATAATGATAGCTCATATATTGAATATGCCGTAGGAGATCTAGGATTATCACGACATGCAAATGATATCTTATCGAATAATGAAATTTATGGCGTAATACCTTATATTGCACCAGAAATATTTAAAGGGTCTACATTTTCTAAAGAATCTGATATTTATAGTCTGGGTATGATTATGTGGAAACTTACAACAGGTTGTAAGCCTTTTGCTAATGTTGAACATGATCATAGACTTATTTATAATATTATTGATGGTGTACGACCTGAAATTACAGAAGATACACCAAAACATTATGCTAATGTAATGAAAAGGTATTGGGATTCTGATCCTAAAAAAAGACCTTCTGCAAGGGAAATTTTTGATTTTTGTAATGATTGGTCTTATAAATTATCATATTCTGAAGCTGAATTAAAAAAAAAAGAGTTAATAAATTCAAAGAAGCTTGGTCCCAAGTTTAGTGAAAAGCCTCATCCAAAAGCTATTTATACAAGTAGACCAATAAGCTCTTACATTTCAAAATGCTCATCTATATTTACTAAATGTTCATCTATCAATTCTTCAAATGGTATGTGTATTATACTATTTTAATAATAGTCATCTTTAGATAATAAGTTAAATTTCTTTTTTTGATAGATTACACTTCAATAGAAGTAGTATTAGATGTAGACATTGAAAGGTATTTAAAATTAAAAATATTTTATTAATAAATTCAATAATTCAAAATAAAATCTTCAACAAAATACTATTTATATTAGTAGTAAATCCAAATTACTTGGAACCAAGAGAAAGATCGAAGAATTATTAAATAATTCTTATGAGAATAATGGAAATAATGGTAAATATTTTATTTGATTAAACGTTATCAATATTTGTTGTCTTATTTTATTTATTTATTTTAAAAATAGGAAAACCGAAAACACTAAAATTAGATCCAGGCTTTCCTCACTAGATTTAAGTACGAAATCGTTTTTAAAATTTAATTATAAGGCTAATAAATACATATTGGAAAGTTTTTTACTTCAAATCACCGGGGGTGATCATCACCGTTGGCCAGAATTATCAATTTTTACCGGCACTTTATATTTTTAATGCTGGTCGATCATCACTATTTCAGTCACCGGTGATCATCACCCCCGGTGATAGTTAAGAATATTCTATTGGAAAAATTAACGGTTAAAAAGGCTTAATCAATAAACTTGTTTCGTGTATAAAATTAAATTCATTTATACTTGTTCATGAAAAATGGAGGATTTTTTATAGCGTGTTATAACTCTTAATGACCAAAATCGAATCAGGTGATTCTTATATAATAAACGGTTTAAAAAAATTCAGGAATTTCGTATAAAAATTCTAATTTAAAAACAAAATATTAAACGGCAAAAAAGCAGTAAAATTCCTTGTTAGATTTATAAAAATTAAATTGCGTGTATATATATATATACAAACATCATTTTAGAAGAATAACTACAGAAAAATGTATTTTTACTGATTTTTTACCAAGTATCTACCACTTTTTAGATTATAACAAAAAAGCATAAAAATTGGCAAAATTAAAGAATATATCATTTTAGAAGAATTTTACCTAGCTATATATATTGTGAAAATATTAATTGACAAAATTAATTCCTCATGAGATAATAAAACTCTTGTCATTATCCGATGAATTTAAATTACAACCTTTAATCAAGTATATTAAAGAAATATTAATTAACAATCATGGTGATTTTTATTCTTAAAGAAATTTTTGAAATCATCGAGTTAACTTATCAAAAAAAGTTTTTTAATAAATTATGGGATAACTGTATTCAAGAATTTGTTTTAAATCAAAAAGGTAACTAAAGCGTCTAAAGGACTTCAGGATTAGCATAGATATTCCCAAAACCCATATGCGAAATATTGATACCAAAAAAACTATCTACAATATATATTCGAATATTGTTTTGTTAGTATGATACTAGCGTGAACTGGAGACATGACACGTAAAAAATAAATGCAAATTAACTTTTAGAAAAAATAATGCGAAATATATATGCAAATGTTAGCCAGCCGGCAAGAAATATCGTATTGCGCATTTCAGGTGATCAATCTCACATGACCGGCCTGTGCTATGCCTCAATAAACTTGCATAAATTGGGTATGGTTTTTTTTCCCATTCTTTCATAGTCCACAACGCAATAACTCTCACTGATCAGCCTATCACGGGTTTGTTTTAACAAACAATTTAGGGTCTTGCCAAGAATGTTTTTATTTCGCATTAGCATTATCATCAGGAAATTATATAGTGCGAAAAGTTGCGCAAGTTTACACATCATAATATTTCGTAAGCTTCCAGACCC